ACTAAATTTCATGATTGTCGAAATAACAACTATATAGATACATATAGACACATCTGAACAATATATATATAAATATACACAAGCATAGAATGTTTAGATATATTGAGCTTTTTTAAATAAAAATCGAATTCTGATATGCGTGTATTTTTATTATATTCTATATGTTTTTGCCAGTTTAAGTTAAATTTAGTGGGATGTGAGGTTATTCTTGAAATAAGTTTAAATAACTAAATTTATTAATTTAAGAAATAAAATTTGTAGAGATGTAAAATAGTAGGGAAAAGTTTAATTAAGAGTACTTTAACAGGGTACTTTGTTATAACATAAAATTGTTTTATTATACTATTAAATTTATTAAGAGGTTTTTTCGAACAGTAGTGAAATACAACAACAAAAATTTTATTTTTTATATTATTTTAATTAATTGAAAACATCTTCAAAGATTGTCATACATTTGGATCGATCGGTCTTTAGGCATGTATCCATCTCTTCAAGACGTCTTCGATGACAAATCAATTCGGTTCCTATTGGGAAGTACCCGTTCTCTGTATATTTCCGATTAAAATTGAATTCAAATTAACATCAAAAAATTGATTTTTAATTTTAAAATTGATTTTTAAAATTGAATTTTAACACATTGCCAAATGAGTATAATATATCCGGCAATCTCCTATAACAAATTGGTAATAAAAAATAGTTTTCTTATACAGTCTCCGAATACCTGAAATAGCAGTTTCTAAACAGCTGTAGCTCAATTATTGATGACTAATGACATAAAGATAAAGATAAAGATTTCTAGATTCACTTGAGTTCAGTATAAATGATTTGTCTGTTTCTGATAGTTTGGTCTGAGACTTACTGAGTGCTGTATTTGTACAGCATTGAAAGTAATCAATTCATTAACGAAAGATATTGAGTTAGCCTTGATTTTGGATAAAGTTAGAAATTTGACATATTATTTTTATTTATTCTTTCTTGAAATTAAATTTTACGCTTTTCAAAAATAATCACACGGAAATATTTTTTGTGTCAATTTTGTGATTAGTGTTGATTACAGTCAATTATTAAAGAATTTTTTTATAAATTAAATTGTCGAAATTAACATTACTTTTGACCGCAGTTCTAAAAAATACTCGATACTAGTATTATTTTTGCGTAAGTACAAATCTTTGTATTTATTATTATTTTATTTTTTTTTTTTAAATAAAATAGTATCTTTATTTAAAATAAAAAGTTTTTCACACAAGCTGCCTCAGATTCGATGAGACTAGTTCAAGAATATTAAAAAACATTACTTTTTTGATTTTTTGTTCTTATTTAATGAATACAGTCAACACAGTATTAGATATATAAAACCAATTTTTATGCTTTAAATACGCCATGGATTGTTTCGTTTTTAATTTTAAGAGGATTTTTCGCAAAGTAGCGAACTACAATAACAAAAATTAATTTTATGTTATATTAATTAATTGAATTTTTGGCTGATCACACAGCTGTTTCGAGTATTACCAAATACCAATCATCAGTGGTCTTGGAAATAATACAATATAGTACAATATAGTTTGGGTCTTTATTATTTACTTTAACATTGAATTTAGTCATTGGATTCGCATAATTTTTTAAACTTCCTATAGAACCCAGACATGTCTATATATTTTTGATAGTATTAACTTCATCAGGATCAGGTTTACCGCGTTCTGATTGGAACATGCATCCCAAAAAGCGTCTTTACTTCTTTAGAAAGTTGCATTTATCAATTTGGACTATCACAAAGGTAAGAAATCGTTATACTGTTTTCTATGTGCTTCCTAAGTCTGACTTCCAGTTATATTTCTTCCATTTATGTGTTACATGTCCCTAGATTAAAGAGCGTTTTTATGATTTTAAAGTGACCTATGCTCTATCAAGTTTATAAGGTTATAAAAGTACGGGATCTGAAATTTGCCATCAATTGTGTTATTGTTTAAAAATCTATAATCGACCACAATACGCTATTTCTCACTATCGGAGTTTTCTTATTCTTAAGGACTATCCATAATGGATTACTATACTGCATGTCTATTATATCTTGACTTAACATTTCGCTAGTCTGTATTGCTATTTCTTTTTATGAACTCAAGGTCCATTTGTAGAACGTCATCTATGTTGATACGGTTTTCTTCTGTGGCTAATGTACTTACACTCATTTTTGAAAATCTTCTTCGGAATGATTGTATCTGTTATCACTTGCAAGCGTTTCGATTATTATCGAAATTTTTAGAGTTTTTAGAAAATGTTCTTTTATTTCTAGTATTGTTTTGAAACTATAAAGATTTTTCTTTTGAATTTTAGTTTCTGTAATATTTATTGATAATTTATAGTTTGTATATAGAATTTTTTTTTAGTGTTCTGATATGAAGTATATACTTTTTGAAGTCGAATTCAACAATTAAACTTATATTTTGTTTTTGTACTATATTTCCAAATCAATATTAGGCCTTTTGTGCTGTTAACATATCGTAAAGGAACAACATTAAATAAGCACTACTTTTGATGGCAACTCTGGAAGAACCGGAAATTTTGTTAGGCTTATATATACTAAACACATAATAAAATTTAAAGTTAAAGTTTCGAAAATAAATAATAATTCTTTACAATTATTGGTAAGAATAGTTTATTACTTGCATGATTCTGAATGAAATTCATACTTTAAGGATTTTTTAAGAATTGGGTATTATTTTTTAATTTCAGTAAATTAAAAAGAACTTAAATATTATTTGCCGAATAGTTGTTGACAGTTAACTGGAAATTTTGTACGTACTTCCAGAAACTGTTCACAATAGACGAATTTTTAGTTTTGGCAAACATGCGATTTGAGCTGTTAATTATTTAAGCGGTTTTAAACAGATTGGGCAAAATAAGCTAGCAGTGTTAATGTTTCATATGTTATTTTCAAAATAAGCGGTTGTTCTTTTGTGATATGCTTACAAAAGAAAATGCCTATTGTTAAATAATAATACTAAATTAAATCTGATCATGTATGATAGACATAATCAATACTTTCACCAGGCTTAATAGAATCAAAATTATGGGTAAAAAGTTTCTGTGTTCAATTGTTGAATGCTTGAGGTGGGGTAATTTGTGTGACAAGTGAATTCTAAATTTTGTTGCCGAGGTATAGAAATAATGAAGCTAGCCTCTGTTACTAATAATAAAATTTTTTGAAAATTAAAGATGTTGAAATAATTCCTTATTAATGTAATTATTTAAAACGATTGAAATTTTGTAAATCGATGCTTAATAAAAATTTTCCATATAATTCTTAAATAAAAAGGAATTTATGATTGAAAATTGTGATGTTAATAACCCTTTTAAATGAATAAATTAGTAATACTCAGCTGTATGTAAAAGCAGTAAACAACTTGTATATAATTAATTTTAGTGTTGATTTATGAAAATAATGCATAATATATGTGATCCTATCATTAACTAAATTGTAACCACTAAGGTGGTGAGGTATGTACCCCACCTTTTGACCTTTATATCCAATTTTTATTGGACACACCATGTGTTGGTACCATATCAAAATTTTCGCTATTTATTTAATGTTGTTTCATCAACCGATGTATAAAAAGTGACATCTCATTATATATGCATGTAATGCTTAATCGAATCCATTAAAATGTTTGCAGTATACCATTCATTTATTATCATCCACATAGATGTCATAGCACTAAGAGGTTGAATGTATCACCAAATATGTGCTCAAAATTGTATTTACTCTGTCTTACGATATCTTTGAAGTATTATATGTTTTTACAAATTTTACTTTACGTAAGTGCAAGTATCAGATTCAACTACCTCGAGCCTACATTTTCAATTCAAAAAACGAGTTTCGCGTATTCGATCTTACATATGTATTATTATTAAAATTTGTTTATAAAATTGTTAAGTTCCTGCAGTTATTCGTATATTTCTTTTTTTTCATAAAATTTGAAGCATGTTTTAGATTCAAAGTCATGTAATAATGAATCAAAAAATTTATAAGTGCTCAACATAATTTCAACACATCGTATATTTTCTACTAAACCATAAAAATTTCTATCAGTTTGCTAATGAACGCTGACTCTAAGCTTCAAATTTGGCAGGGCATGAGCTCGATTCCAGGCACTTGCAGTCTCAAAAAATTATTTGCAAATAATTAAATACAAGAATAATTTCCAAGACCACTGATTATGGATATTTGGCAATACTCGAAACAGCTGCATGGTCAGCCAAAAATTAAATAAATTAAAATAATATAAAAAAAATTTTTGTTGTTGTAGTTGTCTACTTTTAAAATTAATTTTTAAGTTGACTAAGAAGAAAGGACTAGACTGCTAAGTCCTTCGCCCTGAGATGAAAAATAATAAGTAATAATATCATTTCTCGGATTTCTATTTATACGATATTATTATTTCATATTTCAGTTAAAATTTATATAACTTGGAAAAAAGAATGGCTTGTTAAAACAATTTTCATTTCAAGTTCTAATAAATTTTGAAAGAATTTACATTTAGTAGTAATGTCTATATTACGGTCATGCTAGGATCATGTTATACAAACAGTCATGGTCACGTCAAATGTAAATTTGTGTTTGTTTTGAAATGAAAGAGAAAGAAAGAGAAAAATTTCAATTAAAATATGGATATATTGGCTAGGCTTTTTATGTCTTTTCACGTTGGTCACAACAGTGTCGTTCAGTAATGTTATATGTCAGAATAAGCACTTATGGATTAGGAGAAAATATGTATATATTCCTGTGGATATGTAATCATATCCACGCAAAAATATGTACTTTTCATATTTAAGGGTATAAAAGATATACATATAGTTGTCGTAAATTGACAATTGGAATATCACTCTCAGCAAAACAAGCCTTTTGGGTGCGATAAAAAGAGACAACAATATTCAATGGAAAAAAAAATTTAAAATTTGACATATATGAAATTAAATTTTATAATTGTCAAAAAATAATTGGAAGTAAAGGTTTTTTGTCGTACTTTTGTGATTTGTGTTGATTACTATCATTTGTCTATGAAATTGATTTAATTAAGTGGTTGACCAATTAAAATTAATATTAGCATTGAACGCAGTCACCGAAATTACTGTTCATTCTACTATATCCGTAAGTACAAGAATTTAAATATGGTTTTTATTATAATACTTAAAAACGTCGACCTACAATCGTTTGTAGAACCCTTAGATTAGTTTCTGTGTTAACCGCCTGAAGTCCTGGAACAAATTCGCTATAAATGATTCCCTTAGAATCGAAGGTAACAGTGAATATTGGTTTAACTTTCTTATTCTGAAAATCTAATTTTGTTATGGGCTCGTAATTGAATTTTTGACGGAGCTTGCAACTGTTTCGAGTATAGCTTGGTCTTGGCTGGTCTCGTGATTATTTATATGTAATTATTCGTTAATAATTTCTTTTAAGACTACAAGTACCAAGAGTTAACTCGTACTCTGCAAAATTTGAAGATCGAGTCAGAGTAGGTTAAGATAAAACGAAACCATAAACCAGCTGTAGAATAATGGATTCAAGCTGCTATTTTAACATAAAAATTACCCGTATCTGGAGAAAAAAATTTTCGAATTTTCACAGGGCTTTGAGAATGTATATTTTTGATTAATTTAAAAAAAGCCATATTTTAAATATTGAGATAATAACATTAATATTAAATTTAATACTATTTAATTCCATTATTAAATGTGCAGGTAATTATACTTATTTAGTGCGTTTATTGTTTTTCAACATATATATTATTATATATATTATTTTTCAATTTAACCTAACATTTTTTTTTTTGATTTTATTTAATTTTAATGTCTTTTGTTAATTTGTTGCTCTATTAAATTTTAAATTTTTTATTTATTAAATTTCATAATTTAAATTTATTTCATTTTCTAACTGCATTTAATTTCTACATTTTAGTGTATCTGTCTTGATTTGCTTTGCTGTGGAAAGCATCGTTCTTACGTATAAACTGGAAGAAAATATTTCAAGATAATAAGAGGTATGTAGAAATCAATTAAAATATTCACATAATAAACATATTTCCAAAAAATCACTTATTTGCCATCAACTCGAAACTGTCTACTTTGTAATTTATAAGCAAATGTAATGATAGAGGATAGATACTCTCTAGATACCCAAATTATTTACTAAAAATAATATTTTCAGTAGTGAAACTCGTACCAATCTGCCCATTAATAATTGATTGAAAATATTGCAACATTAGGTACTGCATTTTGTTGTACTTAGGCTTGAATTTTAGTGCTGCATCTGTTCCGAGTACATTTGCAACGATAGTGGAAGGTTCTGCCCAAGCAATGCACTTACCTTTAAGACCAAGCCATACTTCGTCAATATCTGTCAACTGAACAAACGTTGAACTGAAGTATTTGTTTGCAATACATAAAGGCAAATATATGAATATCTTTCATAATTATTGGTGAAAATCTACGATATACTCGTATTTAAAAAGTGCACTCGCTTTGATGGACTTTTAGTTAATATTTGCCTAAATAACTCGAAAATGAAATGAAAAATATGATAGTTTATGTTACCCACTACCAACTAAACTTAAAATCAAGAACATTACCACATCTACATATGAGAAACTGTAATGTAAACGAAAAACATTAATTAAAGTTTTGAAAGCCGTTGGTATATCAAAATATATCAAAAATTTAAATATTTTTATTTATTTTTTAAAGATATTTACGTGTAAAAATATTTTGCCTTGCTTTATTAACAATCTGATGTTGTGTTTTGTGATTCTTCATTCAAATGCACCAAAAACTTAACATAATATGTGCTGTTAATATGTTTTTTCTCTATCAATATGAACAATAAATAATATATCATTTACACCTAAAACATGGAATAATAATCCTAGATTGAAATATTCCTTTCTGGTTGCTTTGTACGAGCTTTTTCAATGCCAGTATATAGTGATATATCGAGGAATTAACATATGTATTGTATACCGATCTATACCGATCCGATTTAAAAATGTCTGTGTGTTATTCTTCAACCGCTCTTTACGGTGCGCGTCATCATAACCAGTGACGACATTGGCTTTAGTTTACTACTAGAAAGATATACCCTCTTTTTATATACATGTACCTTTCCAAACATCAAATGTTCCTGTCCATGTAGATACGTGATGTCGATACTCAACGAAAGGAGTCAAAAATGAAAGAAAGAAAAGAAAATAGGTTAGCTTCTCATCAAAGGGAGAAAGGAGTCAAAACCGAAAGAAAGAAAAGAAAATAGGTTAGCTTCTCGTAGAAAAAAAAAAGAGAAAGCAAATATCGACTCTTTTAATTCTGGCCATAGTTCCAACTCATCCATCCATCTTTAGTTCATCTTAAAAAAATATGTGACTTCTAACAAAAAAGTTAATATAGACATTCCATCTAGAGATCACTGGTTGTCGGAAAGTCAAACATTATAAAAGGACATAAGTATTTATCTTATCGATAACATATATCACGTACTTATCCACGACACTATCCACTTATCCGCTATTTCTTCTCGATTCTTCTTCTTGAGTCAGTGCTATTACGCACTTTTACTCTATAATGACTGGGGGCTTTAACTACACCACACTATGCTTTAACTAGGCTAAGAAATCATATCATTTATTTGTCTTTTAATTGATGACGGACCTTAAATCACCATATCTTCCTGAGAGTCCAGAAGTGGACTTGAGGATAGTTAGGGCGGGGTTAAGTAGCGTATCAACTTTAGTGAATAATTTTAGAGCTCTATCTTAAACTCAATATATTTCAAATTAATATTTTTATTATAATAAACTTATTATTAGTCTACTTATTATTATTGGATTTGTTGCGTATATTTGGAATTCGGCATTGTCGTTTGCAATCGCTGGATTCCAAAAAACATTTAAATAGTTAAGTCTAGTTGAGTCCGTTTCTCATTGATCTACATTGTAGCAATTGCCAATACACAATTTTCTCTGATAATCAACTACAATGTACTTTATTTCTGAACTAACTGTCATTCTTAGAAAAGTATTTCTAAGATTAATTTCAAATTTATAATAGTATTATGTACGGTTTGGGACCCAATCCAAGAGATTAAAAGTTTCGTTAAATGACTATAATAGTAACATATTACTAGTATTGTGTTAGTATTAATAGAATAAAATAGTTCAAAGTATTGCATCATGTTTCTGGTAAGATACCTTATATAGAATGGTGTCAGATACTTTAGTAAAACTGGTTTTAGATTCCATTGTTGACATTTTAGACAGAACTACTTAGTTCTAATCATGCACTTCAAGTCTATTAAATTTCTGTAGAATTCGATACTAGTCGTATCTTGTTGTCTTTTTTTTTTTTCTTTTTTAGTGCTTTATGTAAGCACTTATGATAAAAAACTCAACTCATCCACATTATCCATAAAATTTAAAGAAAATATAACATTTATCTGTTGTATTAATAAAAATTTTGGGTCTATAGTGAATAAAAATTTTAAAATAAATTTTTTTCTTTTATTTTCTTTCCTACATTACACTTTCCTACAAATAAATAAAATCGATTAAGAACTGTCAGAAAGATTTTCCATTAAATTTTTGTTCTGTTTGTGATGTGTTTCAGAAGATGTTCTTCTTTATTTATACTTTTAAATATAACTGCAGTAGTTGTTTATTATTTGGAAAACTAGCCAAGTTGATGTCTATGGAATAAAAATTTATTTAAGCAAAATGGAAATTGTTTGCCTTCTTCCGTATTTGAGCGAAAATGCAAATATTGCTCATTGCCCATCAAATGCAAAAACTAATTTTTTTGGTAATTTTTTGCAATGAACTTCAATATTAACTTCAAAACAATGGACATTGTTAAAACGTCTAAGATACTGCAAAAGTATAAAAACAAAATTCTAAACAATTCCTTGACTATAAACAAAGTTAAAAGTCTACTGCAATTGTATAAATGATTTTTCTTTCGAACTATTTTGAGTTTTGTTCAAATGCATATGTATATCGAACGTCAAAAGCAAAAACATATGGGTAAACCATAAAGTTATTTGGTTTAACATGTAGATGGCGCAAGAAAACAAGCTCTCTAACATTTCAACTTAAGTTATATAGTATTTTAATCAACTTTTTCATTATATTAGGACTATTCGTATTTGATTTATTTAATTTTCAATATATCTGCAAATATGTTATTTTCATTTTTGAGTAACGACTGTTCGAGTATTTAGATAACTAAAGAAACTAGCGAAAAGTAAAGCATTGAGTTCTTTAGTGCATTGAGGACTAATTATTCACAAATATGGGCTTGCGAATAGTGGTTTTAATAGCTTTTCTAGTCGTCACATCTGAATAAATCTTATATGCCTTATATCTTTCTACAGCTAAGTAGACAGCAAGTGCCGAAAACCAGCTAAGGCAGTCAAAGACATAAAAAAAGGGCAAGAAATTTTTATGCAAACATTACTACATAGGTACGAGTTCTGAGCCTACCACTTGCAGTCCAAACAAATTATATACGGAATATTCGAATAGAAATTCAAATATTTCTTAAGACTACTGATGATGAGTACTTAACAATACTCACAACAGCATTGTATGGTCAGCCAAATTTCAATAAATTAACTAAAATTTTTGTTGTTGTCTCTTCTTTGCTATTCGAATCGGTCTAACTTTTAAATAATTTATTTTCGTCAGAAACAAAAAATTAACATTACAAAAAGTGTTTCAGAATTTTGTGATTCACATTTTATTTACAACTTTAAATACTCAAAAAATTATTGTCACATGTACTTTCTTGACAGTGACATTGTCATACGTATAGAACTCTCTCCTTTACGACTGAATTCGTCTTAAGAACAACCAAACACCGCACTGTAAGTAATTTTAAAGTACTATACCTTGTAGGCTCACTTTGCTGGGGTAGTGGGGAAACAAAGGAATTGATAAATAAAACAAAATCATATGAAACTTTTGAAAACTATACATTTAAATTTGCATTCATCACGAATATCCCGAAAGTATTCAAGTACAAAGTAATGGATAGAATAGTACCCTTATACTATATAAAAAACCGTTTTCATCTTGTGAATATTTTTGTGAGAATAACCAAATTTTTAGTTTTAAACACAAAATTTTGATACCAAAAGCAACTCAAGCGTTTATTGTTGCGGAATCAAAATTACTTTAGCGGAAACTAACTTTTGCAGAGTATATTTTTGAATATGGCATTGTACTCTTAGGCTTTGTTAATTGGAAACTTTCTACAGTAACATTTTCTGAGATTAAAGATACTAAAAATGGAGTAAATGGTTTGATTCTTTGTAACAATAGTTTGCACCAACAATACGTGCTCATATAAAAATTTGTTAAAAATGATAATAAACAATTGTTAATTCTGAATAAATAAATAAAATAAAGTTAATGTAGGAAATCATGGAAGAAACCCTCTACATATAATTCAGGTTATGATTGTTATGATGACGATAGTACAGTCAGAGAAGAATAAGTTAAAGATTTAATAAAGTCTAGCATTGTTATACATCAATATCCTGATATCTCTTATTTTAACCACATCCGTTCAAATGAGGAGTTAAGAAGATAAGAAGAAAGATATATGGTTGGATTGATATTGCGCATGCTGCACTTACTTGGAACCCCAAGTGGACTAGGAGCAGAGGCAGACTAGTAGTGACTTGGTGAAAGACAGTTCAGCAGGGGTAATATGCTAAACTGACGTTTGGCAATCTGTCATTTAACAACATAAGTAACTTCATTCTATTTGAAATACAAACAACGGTTAAATAATTTCAGCGATTAAAATATTGAAGTGTGGGCGAAAGAGGGTTAAATTTGGGGCTATATGTGTTTTTGATGCCAAATCAAAAAAATAAAAAAAATTTATCACCCTAATCAACTTAACGGAATGATATATACTCTCATGCCTACCACATATATATAAGAAAGTTCATGCAAATCCGTCGAGCCGTTTCGGTGAAGTTTAAAGACTAACACCTTAAGACGAGATTTTTAAATATTAGATTAATTCTAAATTTATAATTGAGCTAATTTAGATATAAATTTCGTTCACTATCGCTCTCCAATCTTGCGGCATAACCAAACCAACGAAACTGTTGAAGGCTAACTTGTTAAATAATATTAATAACGTGGTAGTTCGTACAGTTAATAATAGATGCAATTATTCTCTCCAACTTGTAAAAGATATTAGAGCTAATTAACAATTTTTCTTTTCAAGACTCCAACCGCTACTTAATCACTTTGTGGTGGAGGTCATGCTTCAGTCCCATATGAGTTCGCATATAGTATGAGTGACCTATTGGAAATAAGTTTTTTCATATAATATGGGCAATAGGTTTAAAGTGTAGTATGGTATCAAAAGATTCGAACAGACTTGATGGACCTACAGATAAAACACAATATAATGCTGTAAAGGCCTATTACCTTCTCAGTGATATTGAATATTGCAACACAATTTATAAAAAACGTATTAATATTGTATTACTGAATATAATATTTTATGTAAAATATTAAACGTTAATAATCTTCTTTGAATGAAATCTAATTTATTTTAAAGTTTTTAAATAATCTTTTAATATTAAAGTACTGAAAAGCGAGGGTGCACAATCATGTGAAATAGCCATGACATCTTGGAAAATAAATAGTACAGGAAATTACAATACCCAAAGTATGGAAATGCAATCAATTCACCATATCTCAGTGAATCTATTTAACCATTAAACATTTAATGTATTTAAATATATTTGACTTCCATAGTCTGAGGGATGTTGTGCTATGAAGACATTTTCGATAATGTAATGTAACACCCTCCAAAGGGGGTGTAAATCTAATGAAGTATAATTTGTCTTAAAATTGTACGCAGTCGAAAGAAAACAATCGAATATACTGCACTAAATTAAACTTCCGATATATGGGCGTAAGTCTGATACACATCCATATAAAAATTTGTTTTTCTTTGCATTAAAATTAATGTGCATTAATGTTAGAAAGATTTTGTTTATGTAATTTTGTGAGAATGATGTCATTTTAAATCTAAGTCCTGATTTCAAGGAATTCATCCCTTGGAGTGGAGCTCAATGAAATGACTTGTTGCATCATTAACAGCAACCCTTAAGTAGATATACGTAATCAACCAGTATTGTATCGTAAATATGTACCAACAAAATAAAAATATAATTCTTCAAACTAAAATTTATTAAATTAATTAAAATATAAATAATAAAATTTTAATGTTAATTTAATTTAATGTTAATGTTAATTCTTGCCGAGAGTCACGCGTCTTTGTGACGAAAAGAAATGATTTGAAAGATAGACGGATTCGAATAGCAAAGAAAAGATAAGAACAAAAATTTAGTCAATTTATTGAAATTTGGCTAACCATTCAGCGCTGTTGTGAGTATTGCAACGTACGCATCATCAGTGGTCTTAGGAATTATTTTATTTTAGTGTCGTATATATATTAGGATATATATCTATATATATATATCTATATATATATAAGGATATATATATATATATATATCTTCTGTATCTTTTAAATTAAAATTTGTTTTGAATAAACTGAATTTTTACTATAAACTTTTCGAAATTTGTCAAATATACATCATCTGAGCTCTTCATAAATATGTGTCCATTTTTGGACAACAAATGTCAGGAATTTAATCAAATTGAAACCGTGACATACAAAGTCTTTCTTTACTATGAGTAGAATAATCTCATAGTCATAGTAAAAATTTTTCCTTTAAATAAAAAGTAACTTCAGCTAGATATAAAAACATATATAGAGATATATATGACTTAAGCTTAATCATTTTTCAGCTATGGTGATTTTTCAACTTTTTTATATGCTGTATCTTAGTTAATATTTAATATGATTCCCACCTCCTACATATCTTTTTTTGTTTGGACCCGAAAATCTATTTAAAAACTTACGGGAGGTATTCAGGAAATACAAAGAGATATAAGCTCGTGTCTATGACATTTAAAATATTTTATAAAATCAAGAAAGATATGTTTACAATAATGAAACCAAAACAGGGCCTTTCTAAAATTAAACATGTATATATAAATATATATATACATAAGGAGTACTACTAAGTTGTTGTTGTACTTGTTGTGATTTAAGTTAATACTACTGCGCACTTTTACTCTATTGTTGCTGGGGGGCTTATCCCTGCCTCACACTAAACTTTAACTATACTAGAATCATTATCATTTATTTATTTTCTATCTGATGACGAACCGTAGATCAGCATATCTTCCTCTGCGTCCTGAGGAGGACTTAAGGTTTATTAGAGCGGGGTTGGGCAACGTATCATCTTTTGTGAATAATTTTAGGGCTCTGTCCTTGATATACTTTTTCACTGAGTCGATTTTTAGATCTGTATTCATGTACTACTAAGTGATACTAAAATTATGTATATTGTTAGTTTCGATACTTTGATAAATTTTATAGTTACCTTTGTATTTTTATTCATAATCTTTTAAAACTTTTAACTTTACATATTAAATTAAAAAAAAACAAAATTTTATCTGAAACTATTGTGTAGTTAACGATGTATCTAGTCATCATATCGTGCTTTCAAGTTCGTAAGTGATTTATAACTTATTTAAAGGTAAATTTTTTTCTAAAATTTCCTTAAATCTTATTTTTCCGCAGAGATCTAGCGATATGTGTATATTTCGTCATTCTTCTTCCTAAATTTATATATAGCTTCCAATATGTTTGAATTTATGTGATAATTCTTTAACCTCTTGGACCTTTGTACGAATTATGGAGTCTAGGCATTATCACACTAAATCCAATATAGAAAATTTGTTACTTTGAATTTCTCTTAAAGACTCTTTGGAAGTATCGTAGACATAAAATATATTTGAATATAATAAAGGGGAATGAGTTTAAATAATTTATCTGTTTAATAATGCCTTTATGCAAACTTAATTGGCAGCAGTCGCATTTCCACAATTTATAGGTGCTATAGTAATGCCATATTCTTTAGGTGGGTAAACCTTTAATAGGTTTTTTTCTATATCATTTCTATTGTGTTGACATGTACGTCATATATTTAATGGCAAAATAACAGTGCATAGAATTTCCTTGCAACCAGTAATAGATGGCTATTGAAAAGTGGGTTTCATGAGTGTAGGTTCAAGGATCATGTTTATACAATAAATAGCATTTATTTTACCGTGGTAATGCATTTCTACATGGAAAAATCGTTCAAGCCATCATTGCAATATATAACTAATTTCGGATATTGTGAAATGTTTGACAGTTTTATAATTATTTTCTTAATTAATTAAATAGTTGATATAATAAATTTATTTTTCTAGAACAATCAACGATAACGTTTTGGTTGAAGAAATCTCATTGTTACCTGAAGAAAATTAACCCATATACTTGTGTAAGTAAAAACCCTTAATTTTGTCTTTTGATAATAAAGTTCTGTATATTATCTAAATCTAAATGAAAAATCTTATAATAATACTAATAAAGCTCCACAAAAGTAAATGTAATTTAAGAATATATGCATCTAATTTATATAAAAATACTAAACTTTGTTTTTTTGGAGAAATGAGTATTTAACTATAAGTTACTTCAAAATAATGGCCCCAAGAAAATCGGCTTACAATCTGAAGTTTGAAAGACTCAATAGTGGCAAGAAAATAATTTCCCACCGATGGAAATTTTGATTTCTAAAGTTTTCTAACAAGAGGGTCAGGAATAAATATTGCCTACAAATTTTAAGTTGTGGAGGTGAGGCATACTGAAAATTGCTATGACTTATAGGAGAGTTACAATGAGTTTGGGAAGTGTCTCACTATTGAATAGTAAGTTATAAAAGTTAAACTGTAGTAGTTTAATTATTTTTTTTTTTTTGGATGCATGAGAGTAGCACTGTCAGGACAAGAGGACGAATTAGGCATATAGGGCCATGGACACCATACTAAATGTCAGTACATCGTAGGTAGTACGATTTGATAGCGTAAGATAGTTTCATTGGGCAAAGTTCTTTTCACGTCTTCCTTAATGTTACTAATCGATAGCGAAGGCATGGGTGTGTTTGCTTAAGAAGTCCTGTGCAATAGTTGAGAGAAAATTATCACTTTCAGTGACATTTTTTCTTCATTGATTTTGATTGTTATACTAGAATTTCCAAGTTTATTTTATTTTTGCTTTGTAGTCTTTATTTATCTTCATAAGGGGATTTTGATTTCTAATTAATTATTCAGTTCAAAAAAATTTTTAAAGTTGAGCTTGGGGCTATTTAAAAGTGGGTGGAGTTTCTGAAGTAATCACATAGCCTTAGTTAAATGCGTATGTGGGTTTTACAGGGTGATTCCTTTTTAAAAGTAGTGGTCAAGTATTTCAGCACGTGTCACTAGTTTTTGTAAGTTTTATTGCCACATCTTGATGAATGTTGATTGCTTTTTGAGTGATGAAAATCGGTTAATGCATTTTCTATTTTCGGAGTTACGTGATGCCCCAATGCAATATCTCAGTCATGTAAATGTTGTATAGAATGAGTCAAAGGAAGGAGCGATTAGAAAGAACTTCCAATTAATTTTTATAGTAAAGAATAATTATTTCTTATAATAATAATTAATAATAATTATCCAATAATAATTAATTTTAATATGGCGCTTTACTAATAGTCTGAGATTATGGTATATTATTTGGATGTACACTGAAACATTTGCCCACAAATATATTGTAATATAAATTTTTAAAAATAATCACAGTTAACACTGGAATTTAAAAAAAATTATTTTGTCAAAAATTTATAGTATTAAAAATACATTTCTGAATAGTGTTATAAAATCTTCTTACTAGATATTGCCATAGATTATTTTAATGAGAAATTCTTTATTTTAAACAGTGTTACAAAATCGTTTGGCAAGACATAACGACAAGATTTTAGAATTTTAGTGAGTACATTATAATTTTTACTATCTTTTGAGAACTTAAGTTTTTATTCATTTTAATTTCTCGTTCTTTACTAAACCGTTTATACTATATACATTATATGTTCGAAAATGATTGTGTATTATAGGATCATAACCCTTTTCTTTTTATACTTAATTCCAAATAATTTTTATGACGTTGAATAATCTGTAGTTTTGGAACCGTTTAAAGCTTCGAAGCATTTTAACTTCTGGGTATAATATTTGATAGTAGTGAACCATAAGAAAATGTTTGTACACCATATGGGATATGTATAGGAGACTTTTTAATTGTCAAAGGGACGTTATTCGTGCACTAGATGTTTGTGACTATGACTTCCATGGTAATTCACAGAACAGGTCGTTTGCACGGATGGTACTGCAACGGCGATTTTTTTTATCTATAAGTGAGCCCTGATATGGCTACCACTCCACTCCAACCTCATGTAACCTAATACAGTGTACGAGTATTTACTGTGCTTCGAGCAGGTCAAGTAATACTTGAAGTTTACATGATACTTGAGGGTAATAAGTACTATTAAAAATAAAAGCATTATTTTATTATGCTATAATCTTATTTAAGTTGTATAAAACAAGTTGAAAATACAATCCAACAAAATTCAGTTCCAATAGTTTTCAACATTTCAAGTGTTTGATTTATGTATTTTTCACGAGTTTTTTGAAACACTACTTTTTTTGGTAAGATTTTTAATAATTTTATTTTGTTATAGAATTTTAAATATTTTTTTTAAGAATAAATTTTATGCTTAGAAAATTGTTCTAACACTAATTGTAACTTGAATAAATTTACAGGACACACTTCATTTTTGCGATCCCATTACTTTGCAGTCAAAAAATTTCGAACTAAGATATTATTAGAGTAAAGGTAAAAGCAATTCATTTATTAAAAATTAAATCAATTACTTTTTATTTATTTTTAAGTTTTGTTTTTATTTTCCATCATTTAAGAAATATAACATAAAAATGGTTAAGACTGATATGCAGGCTGTGGAGGAGAACTCAAATGGCAATGTCTGCGATTTGAGCTGTTTGGAGCTCAAAAGGGTTCCGGTGGATGCCATTAAGCAAAACAAATATATAACGATTCTTAATTTACATAAAAACAATTTAACACTACTTGGAATCGACTTTGCGATGCTCACTAATATCGTTCAACTGGACTTGAGCACTAATGCTTTGACTTCCCTGCCACATAATTTTGGCGACCTAATTAATTTGATGTCACTAAATCTTTACAATAACAATTTGATAAATGTACCAATTTCATTTGGAAATCTCAAAAATCTGCATTTTTTGGATTTGAGATGCAATGCTCTTGGATATGAACTGGATAAAATTGCTGGAAAATGCGCATCAGTTCGAGAATGTGAAGAATGTGCTATTAGAGTTGTGGAATATTTTCGTAATAGTTTTAGGCATCTTACATACTCGAAAACATTAGACAACCCTAAACAAGCTAATACACCACTTATTAGTAAACAAAAACTTACAGCTAACACTGATAATCATCCTTCTTCTGCAATTCGGTCAACGGATTATATATGTGTCTCACAATCTGATGAAAGTTTTAGTGAAATATCATTCAGCGATTTTTCACTATTATCTGACGAAGAATTTGAAGAAAACACAGTCGGCGAAAATGAGACCCACTCTGCCCGAATTGCAGAAGAAGATGTCGCTAAACCTGTTTCTGGATTTGACGTAGACACGTTCAATGATTTTGATGTTAACAAATTGGAGTTAATGGAATCGTGTGATCATGCAAGTACTGAAATTATTGTGGATAAAACCAATGAAGATTTACTGTATGAAGGCGTATGTGATTATGATGAATTACATGACGGGTACATTACCACTGAAAATCAAGATATTGACACACTTAAACCACAAGCACAAGTTGAAGTTATAGTAGCTAATCGATCAAAAAAGTTTCTCAAATTGTTCTTATATGTTTTCATTCCCATAATAATTTCTGCTACGATTTATTTTATCGGCTCACACTTCAACATCAATCTTTCTCTGAGCAAATATTTCTCATTCTCTACTATTAACGAGAAAGATTTGAATGCCCCAAATTTGATTATTGAAGAAAATGTTGAACATAACGCGGTGTCCATTATACAGGTAATAAATGAATTTTATTTTTATTATTTTTATTGTTGTTGTTGTTTTATTGCTTGTTTTTTTTTTTAATTAAGGACGATTTCCCAGCCCACCCAAATACAAGTTTTTCATTTTCTACAATAAAAATGTTCGTGACAGAAGTATTTCTGGGTCTCAGAGAAACACTGTTTGAAAAACTCATGCGTATATTCTATTTATTCACTTAAATTTCACGGTACCCACTTTGGAAGCAGAAATTAATATATATTTTTAAACATTTAAATTAATGAGAGAAATGTAAATGTTAATTGAAAAAAAGTTAATTACAAATTACTCAGTTTTTAAAAAATAGCTTGTTGCTATAATTTAAAAAAAAAACATTCTTTTACTTTTATGATGCATAATATATCTTTCATTATTATATGAACAGTGTTCTATACTTTACAAAAATTATTATAGTATGACTAACTACCGGGAAGTCCAAACCAAGTCCAAAATGCTAAATAAAACATAATTTTAAGATTGAAAGAAAATTAAAAATAATAGAAAGAAAAATAAATGAATGTGTTAGAAAACCATTAATGCTTAACCAGCTAGGGCTATCTGATAGGGATAGGGCTATCTAACTAATGATTTAATCACAGATAAAGATACCGATTTTAAGCTTCAGAAAGCACACAGTTAAATTTCTTATGTTAGTAATTACATAGGTATATACGTTTCATAGGTATATACGTTTCATAGGTATATACGTTTCATAGGTATATACGTTTCATAGGTATATACGTTTCATAGGTATATACGGTAATACATTGGGTGCCATCAAAGTTCTGTGATAGCTATCAGAATAAAAAAACCGAATATTTATTGTGTATTTAGACAAACATTTAACTACTTAAAAAAATTTTACTTAGCAGAATCTGCAGAGCAAGATATAAATCCGACGATCCGCAAGAAGTATTTAGAGGAGTAAAACAGGAGTAAAGCAATGGGCCATAGATCATATAATATTCTATTAATATTCTATGTGACTTTATAGAGACTTCAAAGGATTTTTTTGTTGAATTGTCTAACTGTATCTGAATAGTTTGAGCATTGGTGTTTCCGCCCTACAAAAATTATGATAATGAATTCTTGGACTCCATTGTGGACATAACGCTTAAATCGTTCTATTTCTATTTGTGAATTTAATTGAAGATTACTACGTTGTAGTTACTACGGCGCATATACTATACATCTTTTGGAAGTTTTGGATAGTTATTTTTGTTAATGCACTTCTCCCCAGATTCTGTACAATATTCTGTATCAATAACTAGATAGCATCGTAACGTCCAAAGAAGGTAAACTGATGCATATTATAGCAAGGAATTGGCGAATTTGTGAACAACAAATTTTTATAGTATCAAAACCAAAGTCATGATATTAAAGTTCTGCGTTTTGTCAGTATTTTTATATGAACGTGTAACATGGTTTGTCCCTGAACAAGTACTGCAAAATCCTTAGAATTTTCTGGTCAAACCGCATTGACTAGAATTAGGAGCTGAAGTCAGGGAGAGGTGTGTTTGATATTAATGTCGACATTCGAAGACGCAAATTTGACTGTATATGATACACACTATGCAAATCGACAGATGACATCGCAAATGTGGGACTTCAACATAATCCACAAGGCAACAGACGAAGAGGCAGTCCGAAAATTATGTGGAGAAGATACACCCAAAACGATATTTTCATTAACGTTAAGATAGTAACAGTGAACTGTATGGCGACGCATTGCAAATAAGGTAATGGAAATTAATTTTTATAAGGTTTAATAATAATAATAATTGATTGTCAATATTGCTGCCTACATTAAAGATTAAAAAAAAAATGTTCGTGCGATTACAGGCTACTCAGGAAGATATGCAGATCTGAGGTCAGTTCTTGCGTAGTTTGATGAAGTGATAAACAATAATCCAGTAAAGGCGTAGAGAGGGGTTATGAAGAAACCTCGCAGTTAATAGAGAGTAAATGTGCTTAAGTGCACTAACTCAACTATCCTCTACATAATAATAATAATAATTACTTAATTTATAAACTGAATTGAATTAAATAATTTAAAAAAAGTTTTTAAATTAATGTTGTACATTTTTGTGCTTCAACGTCATTGAATACTATTAATAGAACTTCACATATACTAAGCTCTTTACTCTATATCCGATAATCCCTCAAATGCATAATAAATATGTACGGAAACTTAACACTTTATAGTCTTTTCATATAATGAATTTGAAGGGTAAAAAAAATTTGTAATGTTCAAGTAAATTTGTTGAAGTATGTCTTTAGTATTTGCCAACAAACCTCAAATTTGAAGATACCACTTTTATGTTAAAGGTATAAATATGGAAAATTATTCGTTTGCAAAGGAAAATATGTAAATTTTTATATTCATATTTTAAGGCATCAGCTTCTTCACTTCACTTTACCATAACGCTATTTCCCATTCTATTTATGCCAAGACGGCGCCAAAGGTTTTTTTGTGAAGTTCAACATTTGGATTCCTTTCATTTTGGCAGCACAGCCACAGCTCCTTTTGCCGGAGCACTTACATTTCAAATGGCAAAGTACGTAAAGTGCAAAAGCCATGAATCACAAATTTATCATTTCCAGAATGAAAACAATTTAAACGGCAACTGTTTGTTTTACGAGTATTGTTTTATATTTTATACGAAAATATTTTTGTTTGTGCGGCGGCTTATGCGTGCTCTCGTACACAACGTCTTAAGTTAAAAAGAGTTCGAAATTTTCAAAGATTAAGTTGTGAGATACAATATATGCTGCATAAGGTCTAGACGCAAGTTTTGCAGTTAGATGACATTTCAGGCATTAACTCAGGCAACAAAGACAACATTTGAGTGCCTGTGTACTTTGATGAAGTATGTGTGTATCAACGTTTGAGTTCTGAACAACAAGTGTAGGTGCCATTAACAGAAGCTCCTTTGTTTCATGAACTTTAAAAGCAATCTCAAGATGTCAAAATATTCATGCATGCTAAGTTCGTTTGAAAGCATTTCAGCAATATGCTTCACCAATTTTATTTTAAAATTAAAATACATTCATATATTTGCATTCATTTCTTTTAAAAATAAGTGCCTCTAATTAGACCTCTCTAAAATTTTAGTATTGTATGCAAATTATTATTATTTCTTATATTTTTGTATTATCTTTTTTTTTATACGTATATAAGTCAGACAATACATTAATGCTTTGTTCAACTTTCATCAGCAGACATGACTTCTATATCCTACACAAATTTATTTATTTTATTCGGTACAGATATACAATGGTACTCCTATAATTCGAACTTCTTTAATTCAAGATACCCGAATTTGTTCATCCACTTTAAAGTCGCCTGCGTATCCAAATTAGCTCAAATTATTAATATCTTCGTAAAAATTTTTCTAAGAGTATAGTAGAACGATTTTTTTTCCTGGTACAATAATATACATTACATAAAAAATATTAATAACACCCATAGCATAGGATTTGTAGCCGATCGTATACGTATCGCAGTCAACCAGCTGAACTGGCAACACAACGGTTCCCGAAACATATCTCATCATAGTAGCATTTAAATTGAGAATTACTTACGAATGCATCTGGTAAATAAGCCCTAGCTACTTATTCAGAGACCCCTTAAAATAATTTACAATTTTTTGTAACATTTTACAATACACAGCAGTATGTTTATATAGAATAATTTGTAATGTGATGTTAATAGTTTTTAAGATTCTAAAACTTATTGTTAGGCTGGAAGTGTACTGGAAGAGTTTTTCGTACAAAGTATATGACCATTGAATGTATGCGATTAGATTATTAAAATTATAATTATATATTTAAGAATTGTCACCAATTTGAAATGACACGAATAACGCCTTGCTCTTCACATTTGCATATCTATAAGTATGCGAAATCCAAGATATTAAAGTCAGCCTATATCTACAATATACTTTAAAACAATAAAAAGAACAGCAGCAGAAGAAGAAGTTTTTAAAATATTACTATATAAATACATATATATATATATATATATATACATTTTCTACAAAACCATTCACAAAAAACTTTTGTTCTTAACAAATCCGAAGCCGAACTGACCATCTTACGGTCATTAGAATCTATTGTAAACTTTACCATTGCAATCGGTTTCAAGAATATACTCAATATACTTTTTCATTTGAAATATATCAGAACCTGGGGTGACCGTCCTTACGATCACTATTATTCTATTACCAAATATTATCTTGGATCCATCGAAATCAGTGTATTTTATCAATAATATGCGAATATATTAACAAACTTATTAATGATAATGTTTTAGTAGTTCTGTAATAGTACTTAAGGCTCATTTTCTAGACAAGATCTTAGTTCAAAGAATAATCAAATCATAAGGAATTATAAATTAATTATATTGTGTTTAAAATTATTATATATGTAAAACATATATACATATATATATGATTATAAGTTGGCTGGCTAGCAGGATCTGTTACATTTTTTGAGTTATGTGATGGACAATAAAATTTATTATATATATATATACATACTATATATATGTATGTGTATATTCCTTTGATTAAATATTTTTATTTATTATTATTAACAGAAAGAACTATGATGCACTTCTATTAATGAAATCTAAAGTGATATCCCTGGAAAGAGTCTGTTTGGTTTATCAAGTAAAATTTGGACTATATATAAATATTTAAATCTCTCCTTGACTTAGATTGCAGAACTCATTCAAATAATAAGACTTAAATGAAGCTAGTGGTCTCATGTTTTGGTGATTGCCAGGTACAAGGAGATAAGTTAGACATAAATTTTACTTTGCATATCAGGGAATCCACAGGTATGAGTGTGCTCTATTCTAATCTTTATTCCAACATGGTAATTCACAGGAATATGACCATTTAAGATCTCAAATTTAACTGACTGTATAATTTATCACACACGTTATGGACTCCAATGAATTGTTTGGAGTATCTTAGGTTTTAGACTTGGTTTAGAGTTTCTCCAGAACTTATATGTAATTTTTGTGAGTACTGATTGAATCTGACAAACAGATATTCCGTAAAAAGTTTGAGTTTGATTGCTGTGAGTATAGTTAGTTAACCCTCGCTCACAAGTCAATATCATAACACTCATCTTAATTCCAATGTAAGAATTAATAGATGAAAAGTAAATATAACTTAAACACAAATTAATAGTGCTCAAAACCTTTTAGTAAGATATAATCCATTTTGTGGACTTAACATACGCCAACCTATTGAAATCCTATAAAATATTCAACAAATATTGTTAAGAAAAACATATGGGAATGTCAAAGGCATATTACTACCTAGACAATTGACCATAAAATGGCTTACAATTTTATATTGATAAGCAAACTGAATTTATATGAAGAACTGATTTCCTAAGAGAATATACTTTCAGAACTTAGAGATTAAATGAATTACTTATTATATGCAAACACTTAATCGAAGTTTTTATTATAATAAAGACAAATTTATTTAATGATTATTTTCTTAAATAGAAAATAAAAACATTACATTCTCATTTTGTATTGCTTTATTTTATTATAATTTTTAAAACTATAATTTTCTCTTAATAATTCGGTATGACCGAACGAACTATTTTCTTAATATTTGATTTTAATTTTATTACTCGTACCTTCAAATAATAAAACTTTAATATCAGTTTATGGCTACATCTGAAGAAAAATGTTAGTTAACATACACGTTATATATGAAATAAAATTATATTAATACTCGTAACTAAGTAGGATTATTTAAATATATATATATATATATTTAGTATTGATATAACTACATTTACACTTTTATTATTATATATTTTTTTATATATAGGCTGCACACACTTTTACAAACAAAGCGCAAGAATTTTGCTTGGATAATAAACATTTTTCTTCTTATATAGCATTTACAGTTTATTTATATAAAAAATATTTAAACATATTTACAAGATGTTTAATAAAATTATAGGATTAAATACCTACATATGTATGTATGCATACATAGAAATATATATGTATATATATACATGCATATCTATATATATATTTATATATATATATATTTATATGTTACATATCCGTTCATATGTAAGTAAATGTTTTATATTGAAATTTTATAGTTATTGCATATTAAACTATTTATGCCTATATATTACACATAATGCAAATATATATATGTATTTGTCTCTATATATATGTATTTATGCACATTAAAATTTATATATATGCATATATGTATATACATATATATGTATATATTAATAATAATAATGATATATATATTATTATTATATTATTATATTGAATTAATATATATAAATCACTACATATATATAGATTTACAAATACATACACACACATACATATACATTTATATATTATAATAAATTATTTTATATTATATATTTTCTTATATTTATAAATATTTCTATTAATATAAATATATATAATGTGTACGAATATATTGACATTCATTTTTTTTTTTTCGTTAATATTTACGTAAATTAAATGTATATACACCATATATATATATATATTATATATATATATATATATTATATATATATATATATATATATATATATAATATATATATATGTTTTATATCAATTAAATAAACTTATATATATACTCTTATTTCTATATATATGTATATAAGTATGTTGTTATATATTAGGTTTTCTTATCTATATGTTTTGTGTACACCAGAGTTGCATACAGAACTCAAAGTACATAACTAGACTTAAATAACACTTCACATAATTTTTGGCTATATACTCGTACATTAAATATTTTATCATGGATTTTAATATTTTCATTTAATTTTGGTTTAATCTCATTCCCGCAAAATGCATTATTAATTTTCATGACTGAGCTGAAGTTTTTCATATTATCAAAATCATTTTCACTCTCGCAACAAATTTTCGTTGCATTTCTATGCCGTTTATGCCTCTTAACCATTTCGGAAACTGTTGCATCTACCATGTTTGACCTACTTATCTGTTGTATTTTGTTGTCGTCACCGTCACCGTCGCCGTCGCCGTCGCCATTGCCGTTGCCGTCGCTGTCATCGTTTTCACTCCTTCGCTTGATTGCGTCCGTATCCTTTGCATCAGATTTTATTTCAGTTCTTGATGTTTTGGCAAAGTACTTGAGCAATTGTTGCTATAATTGCAAGAATTGTTCCAACGCACAAAACGCTAACGCCAGCATTGTCAGGCGTGGTAACATTGGAACGTAGTGGAGCTGCTTGCCTGCACCATTGGCATTCAAGGACGAAGCATCGCCTGAAATTTCGAAATAAAATGAAATTAAATTATTTTTTGTATATTTATTTCATAAAATATACTTGTATATCTTATACTTATATATATACATATATATATATTTAAAGTTACAAAATTAAATTTTGACATTTATTAATTTTAATAAAATTATTAATTAAAATTTTTATGATTGCGTTAAAATTAAGTCATACATAGATATATTTAATTACATTTATCAGGACACTTAGAATAATTTCATAATAATAATAGTGTATAGATAGCGTTAAAGGATTATATGTAGTTCCAACTTATTTTAGTCTCACATATTGCTTTACTTTCAAAATTAAACCAATATCATTGGGAAAATAGTCGGAAAATTTCCAAACTTAGTAGTTAGTTAGTTAGTAGTTAGTAGTTAGATCAACATGAATGTCCTAACCTTCTTAGAAATAACAACTTTGAAACATTAAATAGATTGAACGAATATTAACGTATATTGACAAAGAAAGGCTCAATATACCAAGAATGATATTTTTAAATTATTAATATTAGGATGGATCGAAGAGGGTCGAAAAATATGAAATATACATATATGTATACATAAATGACTAGAGCATTTTAGTGAGCATGAACTATAGCTGTACTTTTCCGAAAGATAAAAAACATTTTGTTATTAGTTTCTTAATATTCATTTTAAACGTTATTTAATTTGTATAAAAAAAATTATTTAATCTTTTTTAATTTGCTTTAAATTGATTTGTGTAATAATATCATATTTTTCTTATTTATTTTTATTTTAAAAAATTTTATTTTATATTACATTATTTCCTTTTATTTTATTTATTTTTTGTATTTTATTTTTAAATCATTTTATTCTATTTTATTTTATTTTACTTTGTTTTATTTTATTTCATATTATTTAAAGTGATACTATATTTTATTTCATTTCAAATTATTTCATATTATTTAATTTTATTTTATTTCAAATTTTTTTATTTATTTTTGTATTGAATTATTTTATATTATTTTATTTTATTTTAAATTATTTTACATTAATTTATTTTATTTTTTTAAAAATTTATTGTTTTATGGACCGAACATTTTTATTTTTAAGTTTGTTTTTAAACGGGCTAATTGGTCAATAGTAAAATAAAACACTTTAATTTTTTTTTTATTTTTTAAAATTTTTTTTTAAAACAATTTTTGGACTATATTCTATAGTTATCTTCATAGACAGTCATCTTCAGGATCCAATTAGCCTTTTTAATTTTAATTATAATGAATTCATTTTATTTCAAATTATTTCACATTATACTATTATACTTTAAGTTTTTTTATTTAAATTATTTAATTTTTTTTTTATTTTGTACATTTTATTTTATATTATTTTATTTTATTTTTTTATGTTATTACCTTTTTTATTTTTTGTTATTATTTTTTTATTTTTATTTTATTTTTTTTTTGTATTATTAGATTTTATTTTATAATTCAAATTGTTTTAATATATTGTTATTACGAGCAATATTTTAGTTACTTTTATTTTAAACTATTTTATATAAGTTTAATTTATTATATATATTAATTTTATTTATGTATTTTGTTTATTTATTTTATTTATTTATTTTATTTATTTATTTTATTTATTTATTTATTTTATTTATTTATTTTATTTATTTATTTCATTTTATATTATTTAAGATTACTTTATTTATTTTATTTTAGTTTATTTCATTTTTTTATCTTATTTTATATTATATTCATTTAATTTTCTTATATTTTTTTTTGTTTTATTTTATTTTACGTTATTTCAAACTATTCAATTTTAATGTTAATTATTGCTTTTGTTTTTTTTTATTTTATCTTAAATTATTTTATTAATTATATTGAAGCTCTTTGAGCCAGTGCACTCGAGGAATTTTACTCTTTCTTAACTTGAGGTATTTTCAAAACCTCTCTTTACGCCTTCACTGGATTATAATTTATCACTTCATCAGACTAAGCAATAATTGACCTCAGATCTGCATACCTCCCTGAGGAGCCTGAAACCATTCTGAGATTTGATAACATTCATTTATTTTATTTTATTTTATTTTATATATGAAATTATTTTACTTAATTTAGTTTTATTTTATATTCTAACTTATTTTATATTACTTTACTTTATTTTAAATTATTTCATATTATTTTATTTTATTATATTTTAATCAAATTTAATGTAATTATTAACAGCACCATTCTCGTGGCCGATGTATTTATGACTCGAGGTTATAAATTGACTATGAGCGCCCTATATTTTTAGAACACACCCTTATTACTATATGTACTTCATCCAGTTAAGGCGTATGTTTACGGGATAGTTTAGAAAAATTCTTATGTCGTGCTTTGCTCTCTTTCATTGCAAAAGGTTAGTGTGAAGTTATTGTTAATCTGGTGATTATATCTTTATATGAGTTCTATTTATTTGGACAATCAAATAAAATAGATTGAGGTTGCTGAGGAAAAATTTTAAATTTTATCTTAAGAGAGCCAACCATTTTATGTGGTCAAAACTGAGAACTAACGATGGCTTATATATATGAAAGGATACTGGAAAATATCTGTGATTGGTTCAAAACTGAGTCAGTTGAAACCTAAAGTCGACTGCTGTTGACTTATTATCAATTTCTATTCTGAGTGATTACGTTCATTTTAATTATAGATGAAAATCACTAGCTAGTACATCTACTACCTGACCTGACACTATCCAAATTACTTTAATTATATGATACTTTAATAGTCAATTCTTACTTTTCATAGTGTCACTTAAATTTTATAGGTATTAGGTTCACAGTATCTATTTAAAAAAGTGATGCCATAGAAAAGTCAGTAAATCTATGCCGAACTTTCTCTAGTTTACTTTAGTTATGTATTGCAGCACAGTCAACTATTTAGTGTGATTCGAAATTATAGGTACATGTATAATCATAGTCTTGATGACATTTGAAAACCTATGTTATGAGTCAACATATTTTATATACTCTTTTCTAATAAAATGAAGTAGTTTTATTTTATATTATATGAAAATTTCGCTGTCAGGCATTACTGTCTTCTACATATCAACTATATCGACTTCATTTGTTTAATTATAATCGGTACTTTGAAGAATACAGAATTACTGCAATGTTCAAATAGAAGTACAAATGCATATAACATATACATATGCATATTTATAATACATGTTTTAATCATTTTTAAAACTTTGATGTAATGTATATTTTATATTATTTTTAATACCTTTTATGTGTGTCATGTAGGTATCAGACCGATCCAAAAAATTGTCATCATCCAAGTCAAAATAATCATCCGAGAAGTTATGTACTAAACTGATTTCATTACTATTACCGTGATGATGGCGTTCCTCTTCTATTGCCTTTTCAGTAGTTTTCAAGTATATATCATGTATATAAGCAGTGCAACGTATCTATAAATGTAATAATAAAATAAATAAGTTAAATATTAGGATTTTACTAATTATTTTCATAGACACAATAAATTATTTTTAATACTGATATAGATGAAAACAAAAAAAAAATCATAATTCATTTGATTGTCAATTATATTTTAGTAATATTTGAATTCGTTGTAAAGAAATGAAATCGTGGTACTTCTACTGGTACAGCTTCTGTGTCGGAAAAGAGTAACGAAATTTTTGCCAGTATTTCATAAAATGTGTATCTGTTTTGAGCATCATTGTTTAAGACGATCTAGAACCTTTGGCAAAGCCTAAAATGATATTTAGTGCCAGGTCTTATAATTGATTAAGTTTCTCAGGAAAGGGGATTCCCAAAGTGTTGAATCGCCGTTGTGCTTGAACATCTGCTGTGTTTTTGCCCAGCACTCTCATCGTCTTCCTCACAGCAGCGACAGTTTTGATTGAAAGGGAGACCTAATCTTAGAGCATGGTTGCCTAGTTTAGAGAGACTTCTAAGTAAACCTACCATAAGATCGATATTTCTACGGGTTATCTCAATGAAATTTTTGGATTTCCTTTCATCGGAACGTGATGCATACAAATGCCTACATATCGTTTAATCTACCCAACTTTTATTAAAAAATTCAGTGCAGGAAGAACTCAGTAACAGTTTGCATTACGTAAGCGATATGCCTAGAATACTTAGGTGTTCCGAGTGAAGTTCTCAAGCACCCTTTCCGGCTAGCTCCTCTGCTCTGCAATTGCTGAAAATATTCCTATGACCGGGAACCAAGATTAGAGAAATATTGAACTGCGTCAACAATTCGTTTAGAGATGTGTAGCACTCAAAGACCGTCCTAGATGTAAATTGGACTTAACTCAAACTTTGAACTTTGAAGTAGCTTGACTGTCTGCTAGTATGTATATATTCCTGCCAAATATATCATCCATATTCAAACAAGCTATAGTTAATAGTAGAAAATAGTTTCTTTCGTACTAACTGACGTTGAAAATCACAAAAACAAATAAAAAATATTTATATAATAATAAATTTTATTTATGCTAATTACATCCTGTATTATTAAAGTCTTATAAAGTCGTAAATAATTAGTTAAGCAGTTAAGATTTGATGTTGTCTCAAGTAATTACTTTTTTCCTATAATGTTAATCTGATTTCGATGTCAATATTTCTTGACGGAAACACTGTTGTGTTTATGACTCATTATTTGGTATACCCTATACAAGTGAAGTCTCATTAAGGTTAGTTTGGAGTAATTACGGTTCAACAGTGTCTAATAGCAGCAAAGATGGGACGCGTCGTCTAAGGGACGTTGGACCTGTACACTCATTCCCAACATTAAGGAATGGATGTCAAGAAAACATGTTGAAGTTGACTATAATCTGACTCGAATATTAAGCGGCCACAAAGAATTTTTAGAATGTTTTTACAGATTCCAACTGTCAGATAGTCCATACTGCCCAAACTGCCACAAAGTCGTAGAAAGTACAGAACATATAGCCTTTCGCTGCGACCGGTTTAATCAAGAACGGGAAATACTTGCGGAGGCGCTAGGATATCTACAATGTCTTAGGGCGTTTGCGACTTAACGAAGAGAAAATAAAAACAGCTGCAGTGATACACCTGCAATGATAGTAAATGCATACATATAGTATGAAAACTGTTATGAAATGACGACAAAAAACTGGCGTTTGAGCTTCGTATTCTAGACGGCCTCTTGACGAAATACCGAATCGGTGATCCCGATAGGCCTAACCGTCGGACATCGGGGTGACTTTAGTGGGTTGAAGTCTCACACTGATTGGGCTTTCGATGCTTTACACCTCGTTAAACAAAAAAAAAAAAAACAAAAAGTGAACAATAACGGAAATCAATATCAATATTTCTCGAGATTAACTTCAATAACGAATTCCAATTGTGAGACATACATAAGCATAAATATGTTTAATATATGATAAATTACAAAAGTAATAGATATAATTTATTTTTTATAAGTTGTATATTGTTTACAATTTCGTAACACTTACCCTTAACTTGCCATTGCTGAAATGTTGTGGTGTTACCACAAAATGTATACTAGAAGTAGTTGTTTCCAATTCGCGGGAGTCTCTAAGTGGCTTATGACGTCGTACATGTGAAGGATTTGTCTGAAAGTATGAAAGCAAGTAGAAGTAGAAATTATTGTTATGAAAGTTTTCGATTCATGACACAATATACCTTTGTTTATATTTATGTGAAAACTTAAGAACAAATAAGAAAATACCTTAAGCTGTATATGGAAAATATATTGTACAAGTAAAATACCAGAAGTAGAGCACATACATATATTATTTGTTGATTTTAAATTTTCAATAATACGAAGCTATTAAAAATAGTTCCTTTCAAGCCATATATCAAAATGTTTTAGCGATTTTCCGTAAAATTGCATTTCTCCAAAAATTTATATGTAAAATTTTGAACAAGAGTAACATTTCATAAACAGTACAACAGTACAAACAAAAACAGTTCCGATCTCTTTGCGGTACGAACAACGAACAACAAAAAAAAGAGCTCTTATTGCTAAAAAGTTTGTTTGGCTACAAATCACGGCTTATTACCTTAGAACAACAAACCAATATTTTGAGCACACAAACAAAACATGCCATCAAAGCACAAACTACTTTAACGCACTACTGGATTTAGTGGGAGTACCATGGAGGTATGATGTTCTCTACAAAAACAAAAAAAAAATCTAGAACTATCCAAAACTAAATTCCCCGATATTAAGGCAAGGTTCACTAAAAATTGTAGACTCAGTTTGTGCTAAGCAAACGAATGTGTGTCTGTGTGCCGGAAACCAGCTCAAAGAGTGCCATATCATAATAAGGAACAGCATAGAAAAATACTGAAACCGCAAAAAATTGGAAGGAGCAAGTTTCATCAAAAAATGTTGTAAAAAAAAAAATTTTTTTTGTTAGATTTAAAATTTTTATACTTAGAGTTTTTGTTTTTAATTTTGAAAAATGAAACACAAAAATGGATAGCAGATATATTTACTTTTCTTTTTTTTTTCTTTTTTTGTTTTTTTTTCTTTTTTTAACAGTGCTGTGTGTAGATAACAAAGGACTCTACTTAGTTATTAAAGAAGGTGTATAAGTACAACGATAGTTTAAACTCAACTATGCATGTACATGCGTGAAACGCAAACACATATGCAGCAACGCATACACATACATATACATATATATGTTTACAGGCATATCCTTGTATCCTTGTAATGAAACAAACGTACACATGAAAGTGTTCAAAATGCGGCTATGTGGAGATGTCAGCGGTTATAGCCGCTGTGTTGCCATTATGCTACCAGAGTTGCCAGAGCATCCAGTTGGTGTCAATGTTATTTACACTTAGCGTATGTTGTTTCTTGTGTGAAAACTGTTACAATTACAACAACTACAACAACTACAACAACTGACATAGCAAGGACCGCTACATTCACAGCAACAACTAAGGCACTTGGAGTAGTTGGAACAACTGCTGCGAAACACATTGCAGCAGTAAAGGCAAACAACAGAGGAATAATAACTGCAACAATTTGGTAGATGCTGTGGAAAGTACATGGAGGTTAAGCCCTTTTGGTGTCCGATTATTTTGCACAAAATTAGAAGTCACAAACTTATAATAACAACAACAGCAGCTACAATCCGTAGCTATATATATAATACAAGAACAACAAGGACTTGTAACAAGCCATACAGTAGCAGGAGTAAAAACTTTTGCAAACAGGAAACTAGAAAATAGTGCTCAGCTGTGAGATGTACGCCCAAAAATAAAAACAATATTAAAATAAAAACAAACAAAAAAAAAAAACAACATAATCCAAAACCATAATAACCGAAAAAGAATAAAAAATTAGTTTATAAAACCGCACAGGATGCACTTTTCAAATGCTACACACACGCATGTAGATGGATCCTTCCTCCCGCAGTCAACGATTGTGCTTGTGTTCAGGGTAAGGCGATTTTAACCGCATATATGATAAGCAGAGTCGTACGATTTTTGCAGTGTAGTTAGCGCTTCAAATGAGAGATTATTCTTTCACTGAAATACATAAAATAAATGTAATCCGCAACAAATCATACTGGCGGTTGCAATTATTTGTTAAAGCTGAAAGGAGTTTTTAATATTTAAAATTTTAATTATTCTTCTTTTCAGTCTTATTTTAAGGCTCTCAATAATATTTTATTGAGATTATTTACCATGGACTCGGTAAATTGACTATTTAGATATTACTTGCTGATTCCCAATTTATGTCATAATTTGACGATTGAGTTTAATCTTTCATGTCAGTAATGCCAAGTTGTTTTTGTTGTGATCTATCCTGTGAGCCTGGCAGAGAGAGGGGGGTAAATGTGGACAGAGAAGTGATGTAAGGAGTCAAAAGAGCAGAGAAAAGTAGTAAAGAGTTAAGGTACTTAAAATTAATTTGAGTATGAATGCCTGAATGTTAACAATTAAAAGGGACAAAGTTTTAACTTTATACTCGAGATTTACCATTTGGACGAGATCAAGTGGAATATAGCTGTAATTGCGGCATCCGAACAATAAGTTAAGCCTGGAAAGTTCTTAGCGCTTATAAAAGTCACTTGTCATCCTGAAAAATTGTAAGTGTAGACATATTGAGAACCGAATTGTAATACATAGCAGAATATGTAGGAAATGTACCATCAATGTCGAATGTTTCTTGTTAGTATTCGACTTTTTTGATACATCTTTTACTGAGTCACTTGTCAATATAAAAGGTGAACTCTGGAATAAAGAATGTAAGACTTCAAAGCAGTCTTCCAAATATTCGACTTTATTGATGTCTCTTGTATATATGCATACCAAAGTAAAGAAGACAGTTAAAGGAAACACAAAAGTAATGTTTTTGATCTCTGACTTCAGGGATGTGTATTTCGATTTCGTTGCGTTACTTGTCGATATACCTAGTACGCACACTTCAAACTAAAGAGCATAATTGCAATGCATGAAAAATAGCAAAGAATTCTTTCTGCTATGTGATTTTCTGGTTTGGAAAACCACTAAGCTGATCATAGAAATACTGATTTTATCAAATTAATGTAGTATGTCTATATTACCTATGCTCTAGTAATGTAGCTTGATTAACGAGATCGAAAGATCAGTTATGGTAATAAATTATAAATGTTTTTACTCATTCTGTTTATTTATTTATAATATTTTTGAAATCATTTTCTATATCTTCCTTACTATATTCACAATGACATATTTTTATGCTTAATATTTTTAAAATATATTTCTAAGGGTTTTCTCTTAGAATCAGAACGCGATTAAATACAATACCCTGTACAATAAATTGTGTTCATTAGTAAAGGCTGACTAAAGACAGGTAGGCTCCAAACACAGACATGCTATATACCCGAAAACCCTTTTCTTTTCTTATATAGTTAGTATATAAAAGTTTTTGCGAATGTAAATTCTGGACAATTATTACAAAATCTAAATTTCAGTATTATTTTATGTATGGTATACACCAACATCCAAACTGGTATGTGAGTGCATTGACAAACTGAACATACTCGGCTGGTATAATCAGGTGCACCTGATATGGATTCATGGACATGCTGACAGCCAAGGCAATAAAATGGCAGACAAACTTGCAAAAAGTGGCGAGGTCTCAAGAATGATAGGCTCAGAACCATTCTGTGGTCTAGGCATAAGAATTGTATCCATTCTTATGAACGGCGCAGAGGAAAAAGAAAAAGAACTCTATTGAGAAAGGCTACCAAGATTTTCATAATCTAAAATGCTTTTAGGGACTAACAACCTAAAAGGCTTCAAAGTTTGTATAGTACAATCAAAAAATAACTTAAAAATTATTACGGGACTATTGACCGGTCACTATAGATTGAATAATCTCCTATCGAAGTTAGAAATTCAATTCAACTCAGACTGCAGATACTTTAGAGAAGAGAGAGAAACTGCACACGATGTGCTTGGGATGTGCCCGGCACTGATGCACAAGCGGAATAAATACCTAAGAGGGCATTTCATGGATCAGATCATAAGGATGCAAGACTAGGAAAGACAGGCTCTATACGGTCTTTCATTAAAGAAATTTGACTTGGAGTAACACTCTAATGCGATATGGAAATAGCAGCAAATATGTTTACTCAAGAGAATTACAAGGAGAAACAACGTTCGCCGGGTCAGCTAGTATATATATATATATAAATCTTTTTATAAACCTTATAGTATTCATAGTACCGAATCGCTCCTCCTAAACAATCAAAACCGCCTTTGTAGCATGGGTCCCATCTTGTGGAACACTGCAAGGATTTACTTTTTTAATATTTCCATCCTTTTTTTCTCTTATTATATTGCCTAAATATATGCACATACATACACCGTTTGAGTGAGTCTTTCAAAGCACAACAAAGGCTTTATTAGACTTAGTTATATAATAAGTTTTATTTTTTAAATTATATAAGCAACATATAGCCACCATTAATCCCCTTTTTATTTGTGCCTTTAAAGACTCTGCATTTGTGAATCGTCATATATATTAAACGCAAAATTATTGCCAAACAACAAACACAGTATATAAGTTAAGTCCTTGTTATAAGAGTACTTCGTTTACAGTGTGCATGTACCTCCCATTTGCATCATTGCTTCCAATTATGACCGGAGTCCTTATAGACTGGACATTTTGTGCTAATTTGTACTTATTTTGCAAATTAGTAAAAAAAGAAAAACTCACAATATACGAAATTGGGAAATATAATTTGAGTAATTTCTATTGTTACACAGCTACACTTCCATTGTTATTTTAAATGAAAAAAATTTTATTTTTGACTATTTTTGCAACTTTTTATTTTGGACTTAAATACTTTCTATAGATACAAAAACAATTGGAATAAATTTCAAAAAATCTGACTCTGGAAATTAGAATACCATACCTACCTTATTTGCAAAAATGCTATTAATATCAATTTTAATTGAATGTATATATTATAAAATGTATATATTATCAAATCCGTATTTTTATAAATAATTGTACTTCTATTGTAATGTATTTCATATCGAGTAATATTGTCGCTTCAGATTTTGTCAAATCTTTGGATTAATAGCATTGTAAGAACTTATATATTATTTATGTTTTTCATATAGAACAGCATATCTATAGCGTATCTATAAACACAACAGCTTGAAATGTTAAAGTAGTGAAGCATATTTAAAAAAAAATAATACCAGCATAAGAAGAATGAACATTTTTATGTATTTATAGTGAAAGTATTAAGCTAAGTTGCTTAGTATTCTATTACCACATATTGGAAAATAAAGCTAGGAATAACTTTAAATGCAACACATCAATCAAAAATATTCTGTTTAAACCAGCGAACGAAAACAAACACTAAAGTACCGAACATAGTGTACAGTTTGCCATCTTTGTTAGAAAACACTAAACGAGTATAGTGTACTTATACTGTTTGTGTCCGCGAACACAAACCCTGAACATTTTTTGAAGTGTCTCGGACAAGAGCAGTACACTACAATACTGTACTGTTTATTTTCGTTTACTGTTTTAAACAACATCGTTTTTCTGGACAGATCCAATTGCCTTTATATAATAATATATTTTGAACGTATGCCCATAACATCATCAAGCAGTTACCTTATTTAAGTATAAACTAAAGATAATATACCATAATAGATTGGACTTAAGATTCGAAAGAAAAATAATAATACCGCAAAAATTAATTTACTATGACAATACAATAAAAAAGGTGGAAATCTGAATTTTTATGAAAGAGAACGGCGCTGAATGAACAGCAATGTTCGGAACAGCAACTGGGAATATTCGCTGATTCGCCGATTTAGGTGTAAAAATTTTATCCAATACTCTGCATAAGTCAATTAAAAAATGATACTGATACTGATAATTAAGCCCACAAGACCAAAAAACATTATATTTATAAATACTCATGCTCACTCATACTCTTCATCATAAGTGTCATTTACTCAATTGGCATCCTGTGACAATTTATTCTCAGTTAAAGTAACAATTCCTTTTTAGAATCAAAAATTGAAATTGGAATTAAACAACTAACTATGATAAAATATCTTATAAAAAAGAGGAAATAAAAATTTCAGAAAATCCAAAAATTAAATCAAAAAGAATCCAGTACATGCTGGTTTAAATCGAACAGTTCTCCACTTATTCTATGGAATAGAAATTAAAAAGACGAAATTTACTTCAATTTATGCATTTATTGCCATTGCAACATAAATCCAGCTTTTAAACGGAGAATTACTTTTCAGTTCTAGTGCATGCTTTAATACGAGAGAACTACTAAAATGTTTGAGTAGGTTTAGTAAAACAAGCAGTTGAATGGTACGTTTGACTATTTTTATCGACAAATTTTCGGAGAGATCGGCGAATATATTTGTTTCCAAATATGCATAGCATCATACCTCACTCATATCACGATGAGCTTTGAATAGTACAATGAGTGGTTTTCATGGAAACGTTTCGATGAAAATACTTCGAGCAAAGATTACTGTAAGGTAAGCATTGGCAATGATAATACTACATTCAGAAGTATGCAATAAATGAACAGATTAGAAGAACAATACTGCTGTCGACATTGAATTCAGTGATTTCAATGGTTCAGTGATGATTCAAGAATTACTAAAGGAAACGAGAGAATCATATACATTTGAAAGGGATAGAAACATACATTAACACTATAATGGTTAAAAATTTTATATACAAATATATTTTGTGGAAGGCCTCTAAGAATATTGATATGAAAAAACTAACATGTGAAGGAGACTGAAATGAAATGAAGGAGACAAACGCTATACGAATGTCATCTGTTTAACGTGGAAAGTAGCGGGTAATATTTCGATTTTTTTTTTGTTTTTATTACTTTAATAAGTAATTTTCCACACAGGTCTACAAATGATACTCTTTTTTTAAGATAGACTCCAAATAATTTGATTTTTTAAATAGTTTCCACAATGTGTGTGTATTTGAATCCAGATCTACGAACATCAATTAAGAATTTTGTTGACCTCTTAAAAGAGTTTCTCATAGTTCTTTAAGACCTCCTAAGGTACGTTTTCCAATACTTATTATTTTATTCCTTATACCAATCTTAATAATATAATAAAATATAAAACTAATATGTAAATACATAAAATAAATACGTGTATATATATGTATATATGTACGTATATGTATGTATATACGTATTTGTATATAATATATATATAAATATATATATAGATATATGCATTATATGTTAATTATGATTATTATTTACCTCATGATCATTTACGGTCCATGTAAGATTGGCAGCAGGTTTGGAGTGACGAGAAGTGCAATTGCCGCGTACAATGTCTCCGACTCGATAACGTGGACGTAAGCCTGTTATAATTGGATCCTTTCCCGGTACTACTGAAACCAGGCGAATTTAAAAAGTTAAAAATAATGTGCATAATGTATAAAAATAAATAAGTAAAACTAACTACTAAAAATTAAATAAAAAAAAAATATTTAAATATAGTTTTTTATTTAATTATTAATAAAAGCTCAATGCATTGTGTAAAATCATTAAAAATGAAATAAAAAAAAACATTTTAATATAGTTTTTTATTTAATTATTAAAAAAAATTCAATGCATTGTGTAAAATCACTGTTATTATTATCGAAGTAAAGAGCAAAGCTGCATAACATCTCAGTTAAATAATTATTTAATTAACTAATCAGCTTTGATGGTTACATTTTCAAATGATGAAACTAAAGATCTCGACAGAAATTTGTGAACTTTCACATAATAAACATAGTATTTTGACATAACATAGACGGAAAGTTATTTAAACGTGTAAGTAAGACATATATGAATTGAGGAGAACATATATGAATTGGATAAAATAAAAAGCCAAAAGTATATTTATGTATATATATATATAAGTATATATAAAATTTTTTAAGTGTGATGCTGCTTGCATATGCCGACAATATTGTTATCATGGGTCTGAACACCCGCGTTGTCAGTGCGACATTTTCCAACTTAGAAAAACAAGCGAAGCAAATGGGCCCTGTGGTAAATGAGGAGTACTTTCTCTCAACTAACAAATCTCCTGAAAGTTTTGCTTCTCACGTATTCAAAATTTTCACATAATTAATTAAAATTAATAATTATTAATTGAAAAAGATTTTATTGTAGATACAGGTAGATTAAGGTAATTAATAGATGAAATGGATGTGTCATTGCTGGTTACTAACTAACCTTGATATTGGTTATAAATATACCATATATATTTCAAGTTTACAGACGTTTTGACGAAGTCAATATTATTATCTCTTTTATTTTCATTTAGTTTCCCATAGGTAAATTTTGTATATATTAAAATTTTTTTTCACGTAATATTATATATTCAAGTTTATTAATATTCCCTTTGTGTCAGAATATAAAAATATTTATTGTAATATATAACAACCTCGATTATATAAACGCTTATAAAATAATAAAATAATAAACTGTTGAATACATACCAACAACCTCCATTTCACCGGCTGATATGAGTGTATGAAAAGAGGGCGCATCCGCTGAAACTTCACAACTGTACTTCCCTGTGGTCGCTAAATTTACCGATTCCAGTACTAGTTGACTCTCATTTGAAGCAGAACGCTAATGAATAAAAAAAAATTATAAAGAAATATTATTTTATTATTTAATATTAATATTATTGTATAAGTATTATTATTATTCATATTAATATTATTCATATATTACGGTATATTAATTGCTTATACTATTTATATATATTATATATAAGATAATATAGGGTTGCTTTTTATATTGGCTCTTTGATAAGTTAGTGATATATAAAGAAGGAGGTTAAACTTTTTTTATTTTTTTATATATTTATCTGTCAGGAGTTCTAGAAACTTTTAGTATAGGTATTCACTGCAGCTATTGGCAAACAAAAATCAAGTAATGCCATTGTGAAATCGTCTCGCCATTTTGAAATCGATGTCAATGATTTCTGAAGTAATCTTGAATCAGTGATATAGTTCTCCATAGCGGAGTCTTATGGAATCACTTAGTTCTCAATTATGTTATTTATAGAAAATGTTATAGTTGAGTTACAACATAGAAGATAGAAGAGAGATAGAAAAAAAGTACAATAGTAAAGGGTCATTTTTTCATAAAATAACTTCCTTTAGACTTAGTTGAGAGTTCAAGTTGAGACTTCTTTTAATTTTTTTTTTGTCACAGTTTGGCTTTAGGGTAGGGTCGCGAAAGGAATACTATGTTGGATATACACCATTTCCACTAAATATAATAAAATCTTTAAACGGAGATGTATTGAACCCAAACCTTCTCTTCGGTTTGTGTCATTTATTTAGCAAAAAGTATGAATTATAGTTGCATTGCTCCACTATATATTATAAGCCAATTATCTGTTCATTTCTATTATTTTATTAACTGTTTGTATTGTATGGTCAATTATCGTATTATCGTTAATTATTTGACCTATTAAAAAAAATGTTATTCTTATTGTCGTAATTTAAGCAAAATAATTGTTAAACTTTATCGAAATTGAATTGGTAAATACAAAAGAAGAATAATCGGTATAATAATACTTTAAATATATACTATACATAATATACATAAACATATATATACATAATATACCTTATAAAATACTAAAACATTTTTATTTTTATATGTGCCTTGAACTCTTTAGAAAAGTTGACTAAAATTGTACTGGTACGTACTAGTGGGTTAATGTTGATCTGGGTTTCTGGTCATAGTAATATGGCGGGCAACTGTAGGGCAGATGAACTTGCCAAGGCAGGGGGTCTTCTTCCTGACATTTAATTCTCAGATTTTTTTGCTCCACTTGTAACAGTTAAATTGACTATTTAACAAAAATATCTAAATATAACCAAGCAACAATGGGCTGATGTATCCAGCTGTCCGAATTCTGGGTCGATTTGGTTTAATTTGTACAAAGAAACGTACCAGGTTGCTTCTTCAACTAAAACGGAATCTGGTCAGCACTACAGTATCGGTGCCAACAGGTCACTGCTTAATAGGGAGGCATGCTATGAGACTAGGTATTCCTTATAATGATCTTTGTCGCGATTGTGCGACGAAGAGGAAACTGTTTTCTATCTCATGTGCTAGTGTTCATTTTTAACTAGGAGAATATCAAAAATCTTAGGTGCCACTTCTCTGACCGATCTAACTGAGCTGTCGTCCTACAATGTTAGGGACCTGGCCAGATTCATAGAATTGTAAGGTTGGTTTTCTTTCATGAACCAACGCTATTTCCTGTGGTAACACAACGTGCCATTATTTGAGCTGAAGTGGGTTTTTTTACTACACAAGTCCGCCACTCCAACCTAACCTAACCTAAGTACTAGTTTCGCAAAGCATTTATCAGTTAAGTGACCTACACGATTTCGAGTCTCTAAAGTGAGACCTTAAATTTAAATAAATGTCACATTAATGTCAAATCGGAATTAATATTGATACTTGATTTACTACACAAGTCATTTTCTTTGTTGTGATGTTTCTTGGACTTAAAAAATTTAAAATTTTATTTTATTGCTTTTAGTTACAAAACTATTCTTCGTAATGAATAATTTCTTGATATAATATTCATTTGGGTTAACTTTTTAATATTTTATGCCATATTTCAATGTCCCACAATGTTTATCTCAACTGTTCTAAAATTTCATTATTGTCACACATTGCGACGGAGTGAAGTTTACTAATTGCTTCCTGTAATTGATTTAGTCCATGAGTGTCTTTATCTCAAAACTGAGGATACATTAAGTCTAACCCAAAGTCGAAAGTCGAAGTCAAATCAATTAATTTGCATTCAGTTGGACTTTGCTTAATTAAGTTTGCCAAATTTCGCATAATTACAAAAACATTTCACTTCATTACATATTCATGTGTAACATTTTGTGCGGTTTGTGCTGCAAACGGCAAACGGCAACGACAGACGGCAACGACAGACGGCAAACGGCAACGACAGACGGCAACGACAGGCGGCAACCAAAGATACATTCGGTGACATATAAAATAGTAATTATTATGCATAAAGACAAACTTCGCCTGCTATAGCTCCGAAGGAGCTGCTTTACATAAATGCTATCAAATATCCGTAAATGCACTAATTTTATTCATTTAACTTGTGGAAAAACTTTTGTCACAAAATTAAAGATTTTGTGAAAGCGCATTTATTTTTGGTACATTCGTATATATGACGTTGTTGTTGTTGTTGTGGTGTAGTTATTCCATAAAGTTTTTAAACAAATATTGAAAAAAATTCTTCCCTGCTTTTTGTTTACTATATCATGTCAGCTTAATATACTTTAGAGAAAGTACTTTTCAGCAGATGTAATATTGAATAAATTTTAGAAACACAAACTAATTTAAATTCTTCGAAGCTAGCAAGTTTCTGGTCTGGTGAGATTTGATTAGAATGGGGTATTGCGGTGCTGAAAAAATGAAGGTTTTGATGTGAACTTAATTATTTGGTTTTTGGGATTTTAGCAATCACTAATAAGCAGTACAGAAATAATTTATCTTTCACCCTAGCCAAAAGAGAAAAGAAAGCCATCCGTAATACTGAAAAGTGGGACCATATTGACAACGGCAGCGTTAGGTTATGTTATGTCATACCGGAGATCGTATTAACGTATGTGTAGAAAATATTCAGGATTTAAAACTACCCAAAAACCTTTGGAAAAGTCTAAAATGCTGTTTAATTTTAGGTCTTGTAATGGATCAAGATTCTCAAGAAAGGTGGCACCAAAAATGTTGAGTCGCTGCCGTGCATGAGCTGTGCAAAAATAAAGTAGATGAGAGACATTTCATCATCTTCCCCACAGCTGCTACAGGTTTGATTGAAGGAAAGATTGAAAACGACAGTGTTAAGTCCATTTCTATGGTACTATTTTGCTACTAACTACCTTGCTATGTCACTTGTTACCAGTTATTTCTTCGCGGGTCAGTTAAGCGACTATTAATAACTATTAACCTCATGATTAGACATATGTTATGATATTTCAGATATTTCCTAAATACATCAAAGTCTTGAATAATGCTGGTATTATTATTATCGGGTTGATTAACTTAGTTGGATTAATCTCCTCGGATATGTTTTGATTAATAAAACTTCTTGCAGTCATAAATGATGGATATTTGGCAAAACCCGAAACAGCTGATTGGTCAGTCAAACTAACTCAGTCAGTTAACTAATAAATTATACAATTTTATTGTTGTGATTTACTACTGTTCAAAATATTCCTCTATTAAAACAATAGTTTCTATTAAGAAATATGCTTTCCTTCATCATAATTGACTTTAAAAATCATTCTTATAAATCTTGTTCATAAAAAAACAGAAACTGTGGAACGTTTTTATTTTCTCAAGACACCAATTACTTTATGGTTCGTGTATGTAAGTATATTTAATTAAATTTTTATTTGAACGCATTATTTTTAATAAATAATTAAAACTCTTTTTAGTGAAAAGAACAAAAATCTTTTTAACTATTTTATGGAGATTTTATCCCTAATCATACAGTTGTTTTGATTACAATGCAGTACCTGTCATGGATTAGAAAAGTTACTCAAAGTGAAAGCTGATTTCATCGTTGTTTTATTAATTTTGGGTCAAGAAGTCTTTTTTGAGATGTCTTATTTTTGTCGCTATTATGTTTCAATATCAATCCTAACATATCCAGACATTAACAGTCACATTAACGTGCAAATGAAGGACATACCATGGACTTTGTAATAGACATCTCTTTAGAACGTCTTCTTATTTTTTATTATATGAAATTAATTAATTAGTTATTTAATTATAATAGAATAAAATTCATTAATTAATTAGAATTAATTATAATGAAATTAATTAATTAGTTATTTTATTATAATAGAATAAAATTCATTAATTAATTAGAATTAATTAATTTTTGTGAAGCGATATTTTTTTTTGATTTTACCAAGAATACAATGTAATTAACAAATTAGATTTGATTGCATAAATCTAATCTTTCAATATCTGTTAATGACAATATTAAATTGAATTTCTAGCTTCATTTATCTGATAATCCTGTAGCAAGTCACGTCTACTCCTTTTCTTCATAAAACAGTTACAAAACTGAAAGTCAATAGAATCTAAATATGGTGAGTCATATTTTGACTCCGTTCCGTTCTCAGTTGAATTTGATAAATTTATTGAAATGAACTCTTTGAGAAATTCCAACTATTTGGGCGCACTGCAGTGGCATTTCTGGAAAGTTATAGTGCACATAATCAAAAAGTTTGTGTTTAATTAAGAGAAAATTATGCCAACATTACAGTGGGAAAGTGAATGAGAAGCGAGGAGTCTTAACTAGTTGCATAGAAAATGAAAAGTTTTCGCGGTTCTTGCATTTTGCGTGCAAGCGCAAAACCAATTGTCTTGGAAACAAAAAAGGATATAAGAACTATGAGCTGAACTAATAAGTTAAATTATACTTAAGAATTCAGAAATGCAGAGAATTGGAAATCCGTTGTCGTTTGTTAACAAAAAGCCAATAATTATTTGCTTAATTCATTTGGTGCCCCTATTATTCACAAAGCATTTTAACCTCTTTATACTCAATTTTATAAAAAGACTATAATACGAGCTGATTTAATTAATAGCAAATATAATAGAATTTTAATAATTATTTCTTATATAAAAATATAAAATATATTGAAATTTTAACTATAGTAAAACAAAATAAACATAGTCATTTATTTTTAGACTAAGCAGTTAACATAGTCATTATATGTAGAGAGAAATTTGAACACACTCTATGCAACACATTCCAACACGAGCTAGAACTAACAAAAAACTGGTGCCACAAGTTAGAACTGAATATGAACCCAGCAAAAACTGCAGTTATAATATACAGTTGTAAAGACTGCGCTGAGCTTTATCGACAATAATCAGACCTATCATCTTATACGGGACACTTATCTAGGAAAATGTAACCACACAACAGAATAACATTGACGCACTAAATAGGCTGGCAGGACTGGCGTGCATATGTTTAAGGGGTGCCATATGAACTTTTTCAATAGTATCCATGGAGTTTTTCTAGAACTTACACCCTTACCGGTATACGTCAGGTTCCAAGCAGAACGGGCTGTTCTAAGTATGAAGAAAGGAAATCTAAAGGACAGCTGGCTTAATCACAAGAGGTTTTAAAATCTTGCTAAACAGTGATCGAAGTTTTCAATGCCATTGGACACGATGAATCCAAAGTTCAGCTTTATTATAGTAAACTTTTTAAAACCTAACTAAGCAACAATAGAAGCTGTGAGGGTGTCAAACAAACCTAACAGCTAATGAACAGCACGGAGGTAGGTGCCGGAGCGGGCATAGTAAGAAACAATAGCATCTTCCAAGTTGAAATTTTCGTAATATTTGAGTGCATACTTTTTAATATTGAACAGAATTAACAAGAAAAAAATATCGCAATACCGACAAATCGCCAAGCGGCAATCAAGGCATTTTACTATCATCAGATGACTTTCATAAGCTTTCGTAAGCTAAATATTCTCGGAGAATCAAATTAGGTGTCGATTTTCTAAGCACTAGGATATACTGACGTTCGCAGGGAATGTATACACTTACGAAACAGTCAATAAAACTCTGTAAAATAAATTCTATACTAAATTCTATAGTTTTTAACGACGCAGTAGGGTTTAAAGATTTACTCTAAGCCCAACAATAATAGACCCGACGGTCCACATCCCATAGCAATGATAATAATAAAATAAATATGTGAATATTCGATTTATTTATCTTTATATATATATGTATATCTTATATATATATTTCTTCTGTACGTGTGTTGACAGTGAACTCCTCCTAAACGGCTGAACCGATTTTGATGAAATTTTTTGTGTGTGTTCAAGTGGATTGAAGGAAGGTTTAGATTCACAATTTGGCCCACTGGATAATGTCTTTTTATATAATTTTTTATTTTTTGGTTTCCATGTACATTTATATTAGAAATTTAAAATTTATTCATGCTTACTTTGATTTGTTTAAAAAGTTTAAAATCTCTATAATGAATCGTAAAACTGCCGTTGCATACCTTAAATGCATTTAAATTCCACAGTATAATTATAGGTGAGCCAATTTTTAATCTTAAGTTATGTGGTGGTATTCCTGGTAAATCCAGCGAATTCAAAAATTCCACAGGATAGTTGAACGATTCATTTTAGAGTTTAAACTTTTTAAACAAATCAAAGTAAGAATGAATAACTTTTAAATGTCTAATATAAATGGACCAAATTGTGAATCTAAACCATCCTTGAATTTACTTGAACACATACAAAAAAGAAAAATTATATATGTAAAGATATAAATAACGTACAAAAAACAATGCCACGTCTTCGTGGACAAGGAGAAAATATTGGTCGAGCGACTCGGAATTCACAATTACTCCAGAACCGTCGGTTAAATAGATCGGCAGAAAACAATGAGAATGTAAGAAACCAGGATACAATCACACGTGTTAATGAAAGTCAAGAGCAACGCAAATAACACCTTCGAGCTAATGCATTGAGACAAAGACTGGCCCGTCCACCAGTCACCGACATATTCAGAACACGTGAACAACAGCGTTTGCAAGTGTATCGGGCATTGACACGTTCATCATTTCATCACCTTGCGTTTGAATATGAGTCGGTTATCGACTATTCGTCACATTCACGAATTGTAATCGGTGCTATGAACAAACAGTGCCAACACTGTCATGCACTCAAATACAAAGGGGAATCGGCAGGTTTCTGCTGCGCATCTGGAAAAGTTGTATTGCCACCATTGAATTCGCCGCCAGAACCAATGAAAGCACTATTGGCTGGAGCTACATCTCAATCTAAATTGTTTTTTCGTAAAATTCGCAAATTCAATTCGTGCTTTCAAATGACATCATTTGGAACAACAAAAATCGTTCAGAATTAGAATAGTCGCAATTTTCAATCAATATTTAAGATTCAGGGCTAAGTGTATCACCAAATTGGTTCTTTAATGCCGATGCCCAATAACGATCCCAAATTTCTGCAAATCTACTTCATGGGTGATGAGAAGTAGCAAATAAACGCACGTTGCCAGTACAACCATATCGAGCAGATGGAGGAGCAAGAAATTGTGGGTATTTTAGAACCGTTTTTAAAAAATCACAACCAGTTGGTCCAGTTGTTCAATACCGTTTCAAACCGACTGCTAAACGACAACTATACAATCGTCATAAAAGCAGACAAAGTACCATCTGGGCAGCATGCGGGCCGATATAATGCACCGACTATTAATGAAGTTGCAGTTGTTATGGTTGGCGACGCATTTGAACGTCAAGATATATGAATACAACGCAGAGATAACACAGTGCATACGATTGATGACAGTTATCGCTCTTGCGACGCTTTGTAATATCCATTGATATTCTTTTTTCATTTAAAATGTAGTGCTTATAAGGATTTGAAAATATTTGTAACATAAGTAATGCATGTGGACTTTTTGTAGTTCAAAAGAAAAAATCAATTCAAAATAATTTTCGTATTAAAATGCTAAAGGTTAAGTTGAATAACAACAAATATTATAACTCAGCTGAGCCAGGAAAATTAATTGCAAGCGGAAACAACGTTCGCCGGGTCAGCTAGTATATATATATATACTTATATATAATATATATATTCATATTTAGATTTTTTCATAACATTACAATAACGATGAACGATATATTTTTGATGTATTTGGCTTAGATACGAGCGATCTGGATAATTTTTTTTTACAAATTTGCCGAATTGCAACAAAAGACAATATTATTTATATAAAATATTTAATGACGTTCTGCTCGATATCTATGAATATTATAGTAAGATTTGCTCAAAAATCAAAATTATACTTTTAACGATTTACATTGAATCGTACTCATATCTTCTTATTCAATCTGTCAGATTTAGTTTAGATATATACCCTCTTTTTATTATGAAGTATTATGTATTAAATTTTATAATATTTCGGGTACACTTTTAGTGAACTGCTACGTCCAATACGGTACTTTGAACACACCATGATAACAGATGCATATTATTCTCTCATATAATATAACAGACATTTGAAATGAGCATAGAACACTGTAAATATATTACGAAAAAACAGTATAGAACTGTAAGTGGACATATTCCTTTAATAATCAAGCTTTCTTCTTCAATCAAATTCATTTTTCAATATTGTAGCGATTACTTTTTTTGTTTTCACCAAAATTGATAATCAAGAAAGTAAGTTCAATATTCTTTATTTTTATTTTTGGTGTTTTGTAGAAGTAAAAAATCCATGCGACCTACGTTTTTCACATTATTGAACTATATTATTAATATAATAAATAAACAGACCTTATTTACTATTCGTATTCAGGTGGTTAGAATGGTCAGAATCCAACTCGTCTAACTCGAAAGTGTAGACTTTTCCTTGAAGACAACCAGAAGAGGGCTGTCATAATTATTATATACGTAAAGAAATATTACAAAATATTAGGGTGATTAGGTTATGCGTTAATGACAACCCTAATCAAATAGTCTTTTTCTTTTTCTTGTTCTTGAGTTAGTGCTATTACGCACTTTTACTCTATAATGGCTGGGGGGCTTATCACTACCCCACACTAGACTCCCTGAACTGAATAGTAGCACAACTCTATGAACTATGTTTATAACGGATAATACTTGGAACCAGTAATTTTTAGCGAGAAATCTTAAACTCAATCATTTCAACCTAACCTGACAACATCAATCCATTGCGAATACATGTATGAATTTTTTTAAGTACTTTTAGAATTTGTTTTATATTTAATATGCATTGCTTAAACTGCCTTAACGAGAATTTTTATAATTTTTAAAAACAATTCAACTTAATTTTATTCTATTTTACAACTATTATTAAAAATATAGTTTCAATAAAATATTTTCCTTACGATATTAATAGCACATAATAAGAAAAGAAAAAAAAGATTGTACAAACCTCAACTTTAACACCAGGAAACTGAAACACTTTGATTGCGGATTTATCTTTCGGTGTGAAACTATAAAACTCACGCCGTCCCTTGTACCACTTGACGGCATACAAAGTATCACCCTCCAAATCGTAGAGGCATTTGAGCACCGCTTTATCGCCACGGCGAACAGCGTGTGGGATTTTAACACGCACGTCACGTAATGAGCTGACAAATTCTGAAATTAGAAAAAACATAAAATATTCATAAAATATATTGAATTTTTTCAATACTCTTAGGTATATAAGATTATATTGTTTTTGCGCCAAAAAGATACAATATTTCATGCCCAAGTGTGCTGATATTTCATACTCAATGGAATAGTTAAATTAATGGCATGAAATGTCTGGACATGAGAAATACAGTTAAGTGACCTTAAACAGTGGAACTCTTAGATACTCACTATGAGAGCATTTAAAAAAAAATTGTGCCTTTGGAAAAATTTGATTGTCCTTCACACTTAAGTAATGGTAGAAGCAGATACTTTAATGGGCTTTGAACTTATAGTTAAGAAACTTAGGGCTATCTTGAGAGGTTTAAATCAAGTTTCAATAAGTATCAAATGAAGCACAAAAAGCAAAGATTTCGATGCTTTTGTGAAGTCAGTGACGTTGTGCGGATACAAGAACTGGTATTCTATTAAATAAGTACAGTAAAGAAAACACCACAGGTTTTGAGAGACCTATGTCTTTGAACAAATCCAGGCAATTGGTGAAGTGAAACAAGAAGTTACACACGAGTACGTAATTATGGTTGGTTACATTTTTTGGAAAATTGGTGACGATTCTTATCATGCAGCTTTACAGTTTAACTTATTCGGTATAAAGTACAGAAGTGGATCAATATCGACGTTGAATAGAAAAATCGTTTCTGCAATAACATAAAACAGAAATAATTGGAAATAAGTCGTTTATATTTTGTAATTTGTCAATAGCATTGCTTGGAACTTTATTATCTTGCTAATTTTCTAGTATTAATAATAAACATTTAAATATCCATGTCTTTCACAATATTCCTTGATTTGTAATATTTTGCATATTACAAAGACTTTTTCTTGTTGTTGGGAGTAGGTTTGCTTCCAGTAATGGAAATGGCACTATCAAAAGGCACTATGTGAGCTTCCCTAATTCTTAAATTTATAAATGTTTTAAACTAATTTATAATAACGAATAATAAAGGTTTTAGATGTTGGACCATGAAAGTCAGACCGCTGAGAACTTCATTCCAGTAAAGTAGGGCCCAAATAGAAGTTAGTAGAATTAAAGTTAGTGAAAGTTGTTGCTTAACTTATAAAGTCTTATAACAAAGTTTCGGTTTGGTCTGAGTTGATTATGACAATTTCTAGCAGGTCATTTCAGCACAAACTCAACTCTCGGGGTCGTATTCGAGCTCATTGAAATACAGTAAGAAGTGTTGAGAAGATTTGTGCTTGATGAAACTGGACGATAATTGTCACAAGAGGTTCATGTGACCAAGTGAGATTTGAACTGATTGATAGAAGTAATGTTATTTCTGTGTTTGTCTCAAATGCGCCCCTAGACTTTGACAATGTACAAATCTTTTTAAACATGTTTGCTAAATGCAAGTAATTTGAAATAAATGTACAGAGACGTTTTATACAAAAAAAAGATTGTAGTTTGTGGAAATGGCAATTTAAAATCGAAAGTAGAAGAAACATCAAACGAAGAGGACATCAGTTTGAATTCAACACCTGTTTAACGACACGCTGTCGCACAGCACTACCACCAAACTCAATGCATCAAGAAAATGTGCAGACGTGATAAGCGCAATTGGACTGATAACTTAGCTCTGGAATTAAAACAAACGGCACAGCAATACAACATCAAACCTCTATACGACATTATGCGTAAGATTAGTGGCATAAGTAACACAGCATCCCGTCCGATAAAATCGAAACACGTGACTTAACTCAGAACAAAAATCGAACAAGTTGGCAGGTTTATGGAACATATCACCGAAGTATTTAATCCCATAAATCCCAAAGTGCTCGCCTTACATATACCACAAGGTGATAGCACTACCCAGATTCAGCCTCAAAACAGAATAAGTTTGCACTTACCAACTTTGCATGAAATTATCATGGCAACAAAGAACTTAAAAAATAACAAATTACCAGGTTATGACAGAATACACGTTGAAATTTTGCTAGTGTGCCCAGAGCACATAACGAAACACTGCTGTTTCCAATATTCAAATCCATTTCGATCGAAAAGAAGGTTCCCAACGACTAATTACAGGACATTCTTGTTGTTCTTCCAAAGAAAGGTGAACTTTCACTCTGTAAAAACTATCGTTGAAGTTTGTTCAAAAGCTCTTCTTTGAAACCCCAAGGCAGCCGTAAGAGGGAACGTCCTAAAAATACATGAAAAAGAACACTGCAAAATGGAAATCGATGAGTCCAGAAAAATGTGAAACAAGTTATAGATTTTGACGAAAAACCAAGAGCAGTAGATAGAAGTGCTGTATTGAGACCCTATGCTCCAGTGACAGATATAGGAACTGAAAATGATGTGGACATCGAATGCTGTTAAGGAAATTAAGAATTACAAAAATTGACAAAATATTAGATTTGAGTCATGAAATTTTAGTGTATTTACACGTATATCTTCTGTTTACTATTTATTTCTAAAACCACTGTTGATGGTTATTGATTGTGTTCAGCAGTTATGGTGTTTATGGTCATCTCAAGAATTCAAATTGATTCAAAATTGTTTGGGTCTTAAAAATTTTTAATTGTTACCTTCCTTTCCACTTAAAAAGGGATTTGCTGTCCTATCATATGCATTTTTAAGATATTATTTTTTGGTTATAGTGAACAGATGCTTATGGATGAAGTTTATGAACTTATCCAATTACACAAATATTCATTATAGAGTATTTTATTTTTCTAATGACCCAAAACTACCAGAACGAAAATAATTCATATTTCCTTTCAAAGTCGTTTGCTGTAATTTTGAGCTTTAAATAATCCTCAATTCAAAACCCATAAACTTGTGTTAAGCACCCAGTGAGTGTGCAACTCCTTACATGTATTAAATTTGAATTAGTCATTCAAACTGTAACACACTTTTAAATCTTATTTAAGGTTTGGTTAGAAAGTTCCATAAATCACATTCACACTTGTGTGAAACCAATGAAATCATTTCACTCTGCAAAGCAAAAACGCAAACTTAATTTACTTCATGGCATTTTTTGCTCGAACTGAAGAACTGAAGTACTGAAGTAGTTTTAAAATTCGAGATCAGTCCGAAAGCAAAAGTGATTGCTTCGGTGCGGTAAGTGGTGGTGTTGCAGGTACGGACTCTGAGGAAGATGTCAGGTGCACGCAAAAAGCAGATATATTGAAAAACTTGTTGCAAACGTAATGTCGATGGGAAAACTAAACCAGAAATAATCAAATTTTATTTTAACAAAAAGGAAAGAAATAGAAACTAAAAATTTCATTTGAAAATTTAAATTTCATTATACAAGAATTTTTTTCCAACTCAAGTGTAGCCATCAAATGTTCTCTTGATTGCTCTCATAGCTTACTCTTTACTATTTATGTCATTTAAAATACTTAACAAAAATTCAATGTCACGTACAAAATTTTCCTAGTGCATGATAATATCTTCACCATCGCCAGCAACATCACCATCACCAGCAACATCGCCATCACCATCACCATCACCATCACCATCATCACATTAGCATCATTATCATGGCATCATATTATGTCATTTGGCACAACTGACAACTACATTACCTTGAGATACTTTTCAACTTCATTCGTACTTCACTCGCAGTTTATTCGTAATATGTTCTAAACGTTATGCACAGCCACTCATCGCATGTAATGTATTCTATTCTACTCCATTTCGACTGAAGTCGGTGAGGTAAAATTTATACGTCCTCTGCCCACACAATATTGTCAATATTTGCTAAAACAATTCCGGCACACAAATATTTCTTTATTTGTCTTAATCAAGTAAAAAATATGTTCACACAGCGTGTGCATAAAATATTAAACTTCTTAAAGCAGATACATCTGCGATATGTTATGTGGGAGCTGAATATGTGGGAGAACTGTGAGAACAATATTACCTAAAAAATAGAGCACATAAAATAGGGGAAACGAGATAGCTTACAAAGTTCAAGATAAAAACAATATATTTATAGTGATAAATTTTGACCACATCAAATTCAGATTTCAAGGCTTCATTTGATATGAGCAGATGTGTTGTATCTGAGAGTTATTGTGACAAGAAGTCCAAATATTGGGGGACAAATATTTTTTAATACAGGTGGAAATATGCAAAAATAAATAAATATTATACAGAAACACTGAGTTAATTGGAAGTCATCAGTTAAATGTAAATATGTATATAAATATAAATACGTGAATGACAAATATTAGAATATCGTTCAGAATTTGAAAATAATTTTGTTTTTGATAATAATTTTCTTTTGTTGAAAGTGACACATCTATACTATTTAGAAGTTAGAAGGGTTCGAATAGAAATGAAAAGACAACAACAAAAATTTTAGTTAGTTTATTGAAGTTTGGCTGACAATACAACGCTGTTTTAAGTATTGTCAAATACTTACCATCAGTGGGCTTAGAAAATATTTGAGTTAGTTTAAATTCCGTATATAATTTACCAGGCTTTGTATTTATTGACTTATTATGAATTGTATCTCCTGAAATTGAAACTAGTACTTTGTGCCCAAATCTCAAAATTAAACACAAAACAATTGTTATAAGCTAAAAATAAACTAGAAGGTATAAGAAATGAAACTAGAATCCTTATTCTTGAAATGAATGAAGAATCAGACGACATTACTACATTAAGCTGGTTTGAGAGTTTTATTCCTTATCCGGAGATGGTAGCATCAAGAAGCTATTTTGTTATACCATATATTTACCATGCTGTTATAGGTAGGTGAAATGTAAATAAGCTTAATTTCACTTTCCCTGTACTGTTAGGTAGAAGGTTTGTTTCATTAGAATCATTTATATATGCAGGCATATACCTATGTACATATGCAGGCATATATGTTATATATGTTATGATAAATGTAAATATTAGGTCAATTTTAATTCTGAGTAAATCGTTGAGGCATCAAAGAATGAAGTGTGTATAAAATGAAGCCTAAAAGTGGATAAGAAGTGTGTGC